TGCACTCGGAAAGATAGCCATATGTCACGGGTGGATGTACAAGGTATGTTCAGACGAAACGTAAACAGTTGTGTTACTTCAGTAAACAGCCATTGAGCCGTGTGTGAACGGATTATAGGGTTCAGAAAGGAAGGAAATGTTCACTAAAAAAGCATAGTTAACCTGTTAATATAGAAATATTACGATCTGAATTCTAAAATCCTGAAAGGAAAACGCATATTTTGCATTAATCTCCAAAGTCGTTCAGATTCTTGTTCTCATTTAGCAGTTATATACTTTGACAATTTGTAAATACTAAAATAGGTGGCATGTGCGTTTATTTTTTGAATGATTGTGAGATACCTAGATGAAAGTGTGGGCAGTGAATTATGCACACACATCATATTCAGTAGGTGTAAAACGTCCAGGCCATTAACCACTGAGAAGGCTTAATCAGGAGTAGAACTGGTCGGTGTCCTAATAATCTGTCCACGAGTTGAACTTACATGCCCTGGCCGTTCCTTAATGTCAGTCATACGTAAATTATGTACGTAATCTGTACAGGGAAACCGGAAGATTTTAAATCTGGTTACATTCAATTCGTTAACACAAGTTAATACTACAATGTTGGTAAAATTTCAGTGTGCACATGGTTAAAACACGCATATGATTTGCATTATATATGAGAAATCATTACAGGCATTTTAAGACTATAGCAAGATTTGTTAACATATATCATAAAGGCTTTCACATCTAATAATATCCAAGTTTAGGTCGGTTTCAGTGTTCTTGAACCCTATTAAGGTTTTAGTTATGATTTTAAGACTAAAGTTAGTAGATTTTACATCATATTGGCTGAGACAGCGCAAGTATTCAGTACAGTGCCACGCCTTTCACCTGTTGCTGTAAGATAGAACATAAAATGTCTATATTTTGTGAAAAACTGCTACGAATAAATAGGAGACGAAATATAGAGTTGAAATACTAATGTTTTACAACTGGAACGCGACAGTTTAACAACTCTGTAACAACATGCAATGATTTAGCTCTTTGCACTACGTCTCTGTCTGTGGACGACTCCGGCTAACCCGTGAAAATGCACAGACATTCCGACCTAATGGGACTGATGCCTGTAAGGGAAACAATATGATGACATACACGTGCAATTCTGAGTATGTGTGGCATTCTGGGATACATGCCGATATGTCCGCCATGTCTCATCATTGTGCGACAGACATGTGTATTTCACAGGTATCGCTGGTTGGGTCTTTGATCTTTCATCTTGCCTTGTGCAAGCAATTAAATGTTTCGAGATGAGCTACACAAAATTTTATGTCAAATTTAACGAATTGCTTCCTGTTGGATATGTTCTTGACATTACCAGGACTAGAAAATGCAAGAGCCTTATGCACGAAAGACTAGCTTGAAGCTGTAAAGATCAGACGAAACAGGAACGGTAGTTGTTGCTATAACTTCATCTATGCATCAGACCTTGTAGCACTCTCGTAATTTTCATTTAAATGTCAAGGTCATGACATTTCTTTCTGGAAACTAAACATTGGAATGTGAAGTGTTTTAAATACAAGATACAACTATGAATAATCTCGTGTCTTCCTATGTTAAAGCTTTGATTTTTTTGTTACAATTTGACGTTTCCAACCCAGTTTGTCTCTCAGAAAGTCGAGAAATGGACCAGTCTGTGCAGATATAGTTGTGTCCGTGGGCAGGGTACTTTCCCCTAATTGTTCTGGATGACATGCGACGGGCCTCTGGTATGGTGTTTGGTGAGGTAGCAACCCTGCCTCAAAATGACCTAGGCTGTTCACGGGGTGATAAACGTAACGAATATATTACGATGACGTAAGAGTTTGACATTGATGAGTTCGGTGTATTCCACGCGGCCATTACGCTGCTGTGGGATGCCTCCGTGTATAATGACAATAAAATGATGGCCCATCAGTCCACATTATCAAGAGAGGCAGTATGCCAGATGTTTGGTTGAAGTTAGTGCTTGCACTTGAGTAAACAAGGGTCAAAGATACCTACACAATATCTCTTACAAATGAGCGATGTCTCCGATCGCGACATTTTCGTACGTAATTGACAACCGTCATAATGTGCACTGTATCACCTGATTGTACGAATTCCCGCCATATGTCGCGCGGTGAAAAATGATGTAGGATGTCTCCTGTCGTCTGCTCTGTTTTCGATGAAGCATTGATTGTTGATCAAATCAAGTTTTCTTGAAACTGCATATTTTGGAAACCGATTAAGATTTCGAAATCTGGATAAAGACTTGTTTGTTTGTCAGAGCATACTTCACAGATTCCTCTGCTTAAATTTGTGTTAGCGTCTGCGGCTGTGGTTAGTACGCCATGCTGTAATCTATTATGGCTAGGTCTACTGGTGAAGAAAGAAACACCTGATTATATTTGCTTCTGTACGTCGCCAAGAACAACAGAACTTTGAGGTACTAGATTAAGAATTGCCAGCTCGAACCTGTAAATCGCTATCTGATGTTGGTTAACTTCGTGTTTTAAATTCGTTTTTTTTTTCTGTCTCATTTCTATATATAAATAGATGAATCGTTTGCTAACTTCTGACACAATCCCCACCCAGACCCGAGTCGTTTTTTACGAGAAGATAGGTACATCTGCCTTCAAGGATTCCAGATACCACTTTTAATCAGAGATAATTACAGTTGACGTGTGCTATCGTCTTAACCAGCATGTTGCCGGAAACGAAGACAGGGGCATTGGCTGTTGGGTGGGTGCAATGAGCGGCAGGGACGGGAAGGAGGCAGGCGTGTACATGTCAAACTGGAGAGGGATACCAGGGCAGGGGCATAGGGAAACATGGCACATGATTGTTCATCAAAGGGATTCGTTTGGCACGCATGCGTTGAAGGGATATAAGCATACGATAGGTACATTTCAACACCGCCTGCAATTGTCATTCTGACATTCCATAAAAAAAAAGAATGATGAATCGTGGAGGCTTCCCACCTTGAAGTTGAGCCGGTACAGACAAGCGGGTCACGGGTCACGTAGGGGCTGATCTTCAGCATGATGGGAGGGGGGCTTAACAGACATGCACGTATTTAAAACTCACAGACTGTTTTTATTTGGATTAACATCTTCAAAGTAGATAAACCTGTTGTCAATAAGGGGAAAAATAGGGGAAAACAAGATTAAAAGCTTCTTGCTACGTGATCATAACTTCTTTCTGGAATAAGTCTATATTTTGACTTTTTTTAGTCGATGTAGGGAAAAACGCGATAACACCGAAAACAAAACAAAAAAAGTATTGTCTAGTTCATCCAAACAATACAGTTGGCATAGGCCCAGGCAGCCGACTGCAGAAAATGCCTTAACGGAAATACACTATGCACGTTTGCTGGTCGGGTGTTTCTATATCATTACGATGGCGAAGCGATACCGAGACATCTCTTATGCAGAAGTTCACACAGCCATGACTACCCAGATCAAGGTGTGGCCCTGTTCTCACTCAAACGTGCAATATTGTGAATGGAATATTTGACACTAATCACGATCGGCCTACTAAACCAGTAAACTCCCACATCCGGATTTAATATAAGCAGTTGAGATTAAAATATGATGTATAATGTTTGAAGGGTTTTAAAATTCTTCGCAAGTTTATAATTTTTAATCGCATAAATCTCAGGTGCATTGTACTGTAGCAAAATATGGCATTGATTCCGTGAGCGTCGTGTCATGAAATCACGTGAATTTATTTTTTAACAAGGTATAATAAACATATGAATGAGATTAAAGTACGTAAATGTTATAATTTCAAAACAATTTTAACGTTTGTTGTTACTTAAATTTGATCTAAGTATACTACATGTACAACATATCGAGGAATTTGTATGGCATAAACAACTAAATGCGTTTGTGTAATGAGTTAAGTCATGAATTTTCGTAGGCAGAGGTATTTTTTGATTCCGCGTGTACTCTTAATTCATGTATACACGAATTGATAGTTTTAAAAAGTTTTATTGAGTTTTATCCAGGTAATAAAGCGTCCAAAAAATACTATTTTCGAGAAAAAGAAAACAAACACCCCACAAATTCAGGCTCATAAAAACAATTAATTTTGCTCACAGCATTGATTAGTTCATCCCTCAGAATTACCCCCATGGACATCATTTCCCTGAAATCGTCGCTGATGCAGGCTATACTTTTCGAAGTTATAATCACGTTTCCTGTCCCTCCTCCATCTCTCATCACCCTCTTCCCTTCCTTCTCCCATTTCCAATTGTTTCTGTAAAACCAAGTTTCAATACAGACTAATCTAACTAAGTGTATTTGGACAAACCGTCAGATAACACCGAACTCCCGCCATTCTCTTGGGCCACAGGGAGCCAACATCCGTCTCCCGTCTCCGATTCTACATTTAAAATTTAATTATCGTTGAAAGCTCTTCAGTGCCAAACATTTAGGATAATTTAGTCTGACGCAAGTAAAAGTCTATAATCAGTATTGAACACGAAACCGAAGAACAAAATGTGAATTTGGAGAGGACATATTTGTAACTTGAACGCGAGTAATTACGTACCGTAATCTACGATATATTCATATTTTATAAGAAGTGGATGAACTTTTGACATCGAGCTTTGATGACGTAATTATACACAGTCGAGACGTTTGGTAATTCCCTTAAGTGAGATTGATTTCGGTATTTTAACTTCATTTAAACAACAACTTATATTTTTAACCTTTAGGAACTACAGGAAGTCGAAACGTGACAAAAAAGAACTGAAAAATATCGACTTTGAAAGTTCAAGGATTCGTTAACCCGTGAAACTCCTTTAATCACAGTGATAATTCTTTTCAAAGCAATATTTTTTCTGTAGAAATTAAAGTTTTTTAACAAGAAAATGCTTTGAAACTTACCAAAATTGATTCTGACATCGTAGTGATTGTTTTGCTTACCATCGGAGTGGTCGATCTGTTATGTTTGGTTTCTGATTTCTGACCAAATCTATTTCTATGTTACAGGAGACAGTGGCTATGATCGTGTGCGTCCCCTATCTTACAGTGATGCCGACCTTATCCTTGTTTGTTTTTCCGTTGCTGATCCTGAAACAATGGAGTCTGTTGTTTCTAAGGTAATACAATATTGAAGGGGTGTTTTGTAATTGACGTTACGTAAACAACATTGTTTGTATATACGGTTATCTTCTTGTTGAATCAGTATAGATTGAGGTATACTGTAACGATATTACATTCCTTTAGGCCATATTTTCGTCGATTTTATGGATACTCTTAAATCCACGAATTGATAATAGTGGAAAATTGATGCGTGTTATTTTAGTGCTAGTGAATATTATTTATCTATAAAACTGATGAAATGGTTTCTTTTTGATAGGAAGACGAAATTTTAGTGAGTCTCACACTGGTTTAACATTCTACAAAAAAAATGTAGTTTCATTCTTTTAACAATAATTGTTCTGTTTTAAATTTCCAGTGGTACGGAGAGGTACGGGAACATTGTCCAACACAGCCTATTATCCTGGTAGGGTGCAAGACTGACCTGAGGTCGGACACGGATTTCACAGCCAGACTTGCGCGCAAAAAACAGTCAATGGTTACTTATGATCAGGTATGTCAGTTCTGGCTTCATTTTTTTTTTTTTTTTTTTTTTCAAAATTGATTTAATATTTTTATAGGAAAAATGACCTTAAATAATAAAACTCTTTACTTGCATATAGTTAAGTTACTTTCCTGTCAAAAATAATTGATGCATTGGCCTAAGATATATGTATGACTGTCTGAAAAAAAAATCACCCTTTCTCACGATTTATTTACGAAGATATGACGAAAGAACTTGATGTAATGTAAGTTTGTGAATATCAGTTTTGCGATTATAGAAGTGTTAAGATCTTATTGAATTTGAATGTTGCATCATTTTTGGTGCCATGATATAAACTTATTTTGAATGTTGTCTTTTTTAACTACAGGGTCTAAAGACAGCAAAACATATCGGCGCTCTAGTGTATTCGGAAACATCATCCAAGACATCTCATAGGAGTGTTTGTGACGTAGTTGAGGTAGCCGCTCTGTCTTCCGCCGGAAATAAAAGTACCGCAGAAACGACGAACTTTAGACGCCAGAGGTCATTCATCAGGCGTAAACGCTTCAGTGGTATCGGGGAAGCGAAAGTTCATTTACGGAAGGAGGCTGCCAAGAGTTGTGTTGTCATGTGATCTTTTTTGTCTCATATCAAATTCATATTCTTACAAGTGTTGTGATATTTCTTTTAATTTACCATTGGTTATGTTGATAACGCTAGACTTAGCCAAAGCAATATTTGCTCAAAGTGGAGATCGAAGAGGAGAGTCGATTGAACTAGTATTCTGTGATGGAAAATGGTCTGTACATACAGTGATAAGTCAGCGATATCCAGATTTGGACAAAGAAGGATAAGACACGAAATGTAATGTGATTAAGGAAAGTACGTTGAAAGACGTCTTCTTTGGACGCTGTTGATACGATGATAATGACGTCATTTATGATGCCGAATTCAGGTTTTGGTCAGTGAAAGGTGTGTGAGTCACACAAATGGTGCCAAGCTATCTAGTCATATACAGAGACGGTTGAGCTGCTCCTTTTGCATCACAATATATTGGATTGCACGTGCGTTTTTGTGTCCGTTTCGTTTGCTTCTCGTTCACCTTGAATCCAGTTCCCATGGTGATTACTGAGTCTTACCGGACATTTGCATATATAGACTGGCTATATACACCACTTGTGTTTTTTTCAATATTATTTATTGATATTTATTGAAATATGAAAGAAAGCGAGACACGTGGATATTTGTATGTAAATCTCCCCTTACAAACTTTGATGTGATAAGTTTAATTATCCAGAACAAAATTTATTTATTTAACAGGTTACGCTGATACTGTACGAGAGTGTGAGTTAGAAATATCTAGATGACAATTTGTAAAGAGAGATAAACTAGTTAATGTAGATGACCACGAGGGCAGTCGGGACATATTCGGGTCTTTCCGGTCACCTCTTTGCACTAGCCGGAAAAGCCCGACTATACTCGCTTGCAACGTTTGAACACTCGACTACAGAATTCCTTCCGTTTTATGTTGGATAAACACATCACGGAGATTCCATGTAAAATGTAGACTTTTTTTGTTAAAATAGATAAAAAAATAATCAAATGCTAGTACACATGTACCAAGACTTGGATAACTGTCTCTATTGGTTGTTTATCCATTTAAATGGAGTTTTATTTCTGCATAATAAGATGTACAGTTGTAGAATATTTATTTTTTGGTAGACAGCATCAGATGGTGTTTGTTTATAAACTTCCTTTTTACAGGTGACTCTCATATGATAAACAGGTGGTAAACGGATTTTTTTTTTTGCTAAAAGTTTTGGAGGATTTCGTTTTTGATTAATTTTACAGAAATCCAAAATGAAAAAGTACATAAACACATACGTGGCTCTGCTATCAAAACTGGCGAGCACAGTCTCGCATGCAGATTTTTTACTGAGCTTGTAGAATTTGTCATTCGGAACGCCTCTTTCCGATTCCAGTACCTTCTATAAGATAGCAGAAGCAAATGTGTTCCTTATATTTTATTGTATAGCTATTCGGAACTCTCCTGTCAAAAATACTATCGATGTGTATTGTACTGAAAGAATGACAATTTGGATGCATATAAGAATGTCAGGGTTTTATTCTAGGCTTCCGTTTTGTTGAAATACGAATGTCTTTCATCCATTGTAAATGTTGTCTCTGTTACGTCGCGGTAATAGCATTCTCTAACACTTTCATCCTGTGTTATCTACTGTATTGTATTAAACGTTTCCACTGAATGAAACCTGCTTGGCAAACTTCATGCTTGGAATTAATTGTATCGACAGTTTTTGGTGGAGTAGTCTTTCCATTGTAATTAAAATCATATGAACTTGACATCATTCCCAACCTCGGTCCTCATGTATAATTATATATGATCATGAGGTTAGAAACTAGTGTCAAGTCCCTGTGATAGAAATCATGCTTAAACATTTGCTTTAATTTGTCCCAGTGATAGTTGTTAAATTTCTTCTTTTCTAAATATCAAGTTTCCGTTACTACAATTTCAACTTTCCAAAGGACGTCGTGTTAATTTCATGACGTTTGGTATTTTGCTGTAAACTCTTTTAATCAACTTGAGTAATGTCAAGAAGATAAGCTTCATTCGCGTGGCATTACTCGGTTATCTTTTCCTACTGTGTTTCAGTCATTAAACATATCAATTATATTCCTTTGTATAATATTTGGCATTATTAGCGGCATTTGTAACTAGAAAATTGTTATATTTCTCGATATTGAAGGCAAATCTATTTCGTACATAACTCCATTTGTCACCTTGCCAATTTATTAATTTTCAATATTTTAAACTAGAGAGAACAAATATGTTTCCTTAACTTATATGATGTTTCAGTACTTTGAAGTTGCCACCACCTTTGTTGAAAGAGTGTCGGTGAAATGGTGTGAAATGAAGTGAGCTTTCAGAATTAAGAAATAGAGAGCGTGCATGTATCCTTTGGATACAGGTGTCATTGTTATTCCAGACGTATAAAACGAGAGATTTTTGACGAGCGATGGAACTAAATAAATTTATGGGAAAAAAATAATGTTTTTGTTTTATTTCCATACCAGTGGGGTCAAGAGAAAAACCATATCGGAATTTTGATGGAAAACATACGGGATATTTTGCGTATGTGAATTATCAAGCAGGATGCTTGGAACTACGTTCTAATAGTGTGTTGATCCAATGGTTTGTAAAAAAATAAATATTCATGTCACATCAGTTTGCTTCCGGGTTTAGGCTAAGCTACAAAGCGATAGAAGATACAGAGTGTCCGGAATTCGTTTTATAGAGTTACACATTTAACTTGCACCATAGCGACCCGACAAGATAATTTAAACTTTTCTAATAAACAGCACCTCTAATGCGTTACAGAAACTTTGGCAAAGAATAAAGATAAACAAACCAAAAGATCTGAAAGATAAGAAAACATGTAAATAACGCAATTAAATACATGTTAAGAATTAAATTTCAGAATAGTGAATTCTAGACAGTGAAACACGATGTAGACAGACACGAACAACAGTGTGTTGGTGTATAAACAATGTAGAAACACACAAACAACGGTGTTGGTGTATACACAATGTAGACAAACACAAACAACAGTGTGTTGGTGTATACAGTGTGGGCTCAGGCAAACAACCGTGTGTTGGTGTATCCACAATATAGACACACAAACAACACTTTGTTGGTGTATACACAATGTAGACACAGACAACAGTGTTGGTGTATACACAATGTAGACACAGACAACAAACAGTGTAGGTGTATACGCAATGTAGACACAGACAAACAACGGTGTTGGTGTATACACGATGTAGACATAGACAAACAGTATTGGTGTATACGCAATGTAGACATAGACAAACAACGGTGTGTTGGTGTATACACAATGTAGACTCAGGCAAACAACGGTGTGTTAGTGAATACACAATGTAGACAAACAACAGTGTTAGTGTATACACACGGTAGACACAGACAAACAACGGTATGTTGGTGTACACACAATGTAGACGTAAAGAAACAACGGCGTGCTTGTGTGTACACAATGTAGACATAGACAAACAACGGTGTGTTGGTGTATACACAATGTAGACAAACAACAGTGTTAGTGTATACACACGGTAGACACAGACAAACAACGGTATGTTGGTGTATACACAATGTAGAAACACACAAACAACAGTGTGTTGGTGTATACGCAATGTAAACATAGACAAACAGTATTGGTGTATACGCAATGTAGACACAGACAACAAACAGTGTTGGTGTATACGCAATGTAGACACAGACAACCAACAATGTGTTGGTGTATACGCAATGTAGACATAAACAACCAATGGTGTGTTGGTGTATACACAATGTAGACTCAGGCAAACAACGGTGTGTTAGTGAATACACAATGTAGACACAGACAAACAACGGCGTGTTGGTGTACACACAATGTAGACGTAAGCAAACAACGGTGTGTTGGTGTATACATAATGTAGACTCAGGCAAACAACGGTGTGTTGGTGAATACACGATGTAGACACACACAAACAACGGTGTGTTGGTGTATACGCAATGTAGACACAGACAACAAACAGTGTTGGTGTATACGCAATGTAGACACAGACAACCAACAATGTGTTGGTGTATACGCAATGTGACATAGACAACCAATGGTGTGTTGGTGTATACACAATGTAGACTCAGGAAAACAACAGTGTGTTAGTGAAAACACAATGTAGACACGGACAAACAACGGCGTGTTGGTGTACGCACAATGTAGACACACACAAACAACATTGTTTGTGTACACACAATGTAGACGTAAAGAAACTACGGCGTGCTTATGTATACACAATGTAGACCAAGACAAACAACGGTGTGTTGGTGTTTACACAATGTAGACACAGACAACCAATGGTGTATTGGTGTTTACACAATGTAGACATAGATAAACAACGGTGTGTTGGTGTATACACAATGGAGACTCAGGCAAACAACGGTGTGTTAGTGAATACACAATGTAGACACAGACAAACAACGGCGTGTTGGTTTACACACAATGTAGACATAGACAAACAACGGTGTGTTGGTGTATACATAATGTAGACACACACAAACAACAGTGTTGGTGTATACACAATGTAGACTCAGGCAAACAACGGTGTGTTGGTGTAAACACAATGTAGACAGACAAACAACGGTGTGTTGGTGTATACACAATGTAGACAGACAAACAACGGTGTGTTGGTGTATACACAATGTAGACTCAGGCAAACAACGGTGTGTTAGTGAATACACTATGTAGACACAGACAAACAACGGCGTGTTGGTGTATACACAATGTAGACACACACAAACAACAGTGTTGGTGTATACACAATGTAGACAGACAAACAACATTGTTGGCGTATACACACGGTAGACACAGACAAACAACGGTATGTTGGTGTATACACAATGTAGACGTAAGCAAACAACGGTGTGTTGGTGTATACGCAATGTAGACACACACAAACAACAGTGTTGGTGTATATACAATGTAGACATAGACAAACAACAGTGTGTTGGTGTATACGAAATGTAGACCAAGATAAACAACGATGTGTTGGTGTATACGAAATGTAGACATAGACAAACAACAGTGTGTTGGTGTATACACAATGTAGACACACACAAACAACGGTGTGTTGGTGTATACGCAATGTAGACACACACAAACAACAGTGTTGGTGTATACACAATGTAGACATAGACAAACAACAGTGTGTTGGTGTATACGAAATGTAGACAGAGGCAAACAATGGTATGTTGGTGTATACACAATGTAGACTCAGGCAAACAACGGTGTGTTAGTGAATACACAATGTAGACACAGACAAACAACGGCGTGTTGGTGTACACACAATGTAGACATAAGCAAACAACGGTGTGTTTGTGTATACACAATGTAGACATAGACAAACAATGGTGTGTTGGTGAATACACAATGTAGACTCAGGCAAACAACGATGTGTTGGTGTATACACAATGTAGACTGAGGCAAACAACGGTGTGTTCGTGAATACACAATGTAGACACATACAAACAACAGTGTTGGTGTATACACAATGTAGACATAGAAAAACAACGGTGTGTTGGTGAATACACGATGTAGACACACACAAACAACGGCGTGGTGGTGTACACACAATGTAGACGTAAAGAAATAACGCCTTGCTTGTGTATACACAATGTAGACCAAGACAAACAACAGTGTGTTGGTGTATACACAATATAGACACACAAACAACACTTTGTTGGTGTATACACAATGTAGACACAGACAACAGTGTTGGTGTATACACAATGTAGACACAGACAACAAACAGTGTAGGTGTATACGCAATGTAGACACAGACAAACAACGGTGTTGGTGTATACACGATGTAGACATAGACAAACAGTATTGGTGTATACGCAATGTAGACATAGACAAACAACGGTGTGTTGGTGTATACACAATGTAGACTCAGGCAAACAACGGTGTGTTAGTGAATACACAATGTAGACAAACAACAGTGTTAGTGTATACACACGGTAGACACAGACAAACAACGGTATGTTGGTGTACACACAATGTAGACGTAAAGAAACAACGGCGTGCTTGTGTGTACACAATGTAGACATAGACAAACAACGGTGTGTTGGTGTATACACAATGTAGACAAACAACAGTGTTAGTGTATACACACGGTAGACACAGACAAACAACGGTATGTTGGTGTATACACAATGTAGAAACACACAAACAACAGTGTGTTGGTGTATACGCAATGTAAACATAGACAAACAGTATTGGTGTATACGCAATGTAGACACAGACAACAAACAGTGTTGGTGTATACGCAATGTAGACACAGACAACCAACAATGTGTTGGTGTATACGCAATGTAGACATAAACAACCAATGGTGTGTTGGTGTATACACAATGTAGACTCAGGCAAACAACGGTGTGTTAGTGAATACACAATGTAGACACAGACAAACAACGGCGTGTTGGTGTACACACAATGTAGACGTAAGCAAACAACGGTGTGTTGGTGTATACATAATGTAGACTCAGGCAAACAACGGTGTGTTGGTGAATACACGATGTAGACACACACAAACAACGGTGTGTTGGTGTATACGCAATGTAGACACAGACAACAAACAGTGTTGGTGTATACGCAATGTAGACACAGACAACCAACAATGTGTTGGTGTATACGCAATGTAGACATAGACAACCAATGGTGTGTTGGTGTATACACAATGTAGACTCAGGAAAACAACAGTGTGTTAGTGAAAACACAATGTAGACACGGACAAACAACGGCGTGTTGGTGTACGCACAATGTAGACACACACAAACAACATTGTTGGTGTACACACAATGTAGACGTAAAGAAACTACGGCGTGCTTATGTATACACAATGTAGACCAAGACAAACAACGGTGTGTTGGTGTTTACACAATGTAGACACAGACAACCAATGGTGTATTGGTGTTTACACAATGTAGACATAGATAAACAACGGTGTGTTGGTGTATACACAATGGAGACTCAGGCAAACAACGGTGTGTTAGTGAATACACAATGTAGACACAGACAAACAACGGCGTGTTGGTTTACACACAATGTAGACATAGACAAACAACGGTGTGTTGGTGTATACATAATGTAGACACACACAAACAACAGTGTTGGTGTATACACAATGTAGACTCAGGCAAACAACGGTGTGTTGGTGTAAACACAATGTAGACAGACAAACAACGGTGTGTTGGTGTATACACAATGTAGACAGACAAACAACGGTGTGTTGGTGTATACACAATGTAGACTCAGGCAAACAACGGTGTGTTAGTGAATACACTATGTAGACACAGACAAACAACGGCGTGTTGGTGTATACACAATGTAGACACACACAAACAACAGTGTTGGTGTATACACAATGTAGACAGACAAACAACATTGTTGGCGTATACACACGGTAGACACAGACAAACAACGGTATGTTGGTGTATACACAATGTAGACGTAAAGAAACAACGGCGTGCTTGTGTGTACACAATGTAGACATAGACAAACAACGGTGTGTTGGTGTATACACAATGTAGACAAACAACAGTGTTAGTGTATACACACGGTAGACACAGACAAACAACGGTATGTTGGTGTATACACAATGTAGAAACACACAAACAACAGTGTGTTGGTGTATACGCAATGTAAACATAGACAAACAGTATTGGTGTATACGCAATGTAGACACAGACAACAAACAGTGTTGGTGTATACGCAATGTAGACACAGACAACCAACAATGTGTTGGTGTATACGCAATGTAGACATAAACAACCAATGGTGTGTTGGTGTATACACAATGTAGACTCAGGCAAACAACGGTGTGTTAGTGAATACACAATGTAGACACAGACAAACAACGGCGTGTTGGTGTACACACAATGTAGACGTAAGCAAACAACGGTGTGTTGGTGTATACATAATGTAGACTCAGGCAAACAACGGTGTGTTGGTGAATACACGATGTAGACACACACAAACAACGGTGTGTTGGTGTATACGCAATGTAGACACAGACAACAAACAGTGTTGGTGTATACGCAATGTAGACACAGACAACCAACAATGTGTTGGTGTATACGCAATGTAGACATAGACAACCAATGGTGTGTTGGTGTATACACAATGTAGACTCAGGAAAACAACAGTGTGTTAGTGAAAACACAATGTAGACACGGACAAACAACGGCGTGTTGGTGTACACAATGTAGACACACACAAACAACATTGTTGGTGTACACACAATGTAGACGTAAAGAAACTACGGCGTGCTTATGTATACACAATGTAGACCAAGACAAACAACGGTGTGTTGGTGTTTACACAATGTAGACACAGACAACCAATGGTGTATTGGTGTTTACACAATGTAGACATAGATAAACAACGGTGTGTTGGTGTATACACAATGGAGACTCAGGCAAACAACGGTGTGTTAGTGAATACACAATGTAGACACAGACAAACAACGGCGTGTTGGTTTACACACAATGTAGACATAGACAAACAACGGTGTGTTGGTGTATACATAATGTAGACACACACAAACAACAGTGTTGGTGTATACACAATGTAGACTCAGGCAAACAACGGTGTGTTGGTGTAAACACAATGTAGACAGACAAACAACGGTGTGTTGGTGTATACACAATGTAGACATAGACAAACAACGGTGTGTTGGTGTATACACAATGTAGACTCAGGCAAACAACGGTGTTGGTGAATACACGATGTAGACACACAGAAACAACAGTGTGTTGGTGTATACACATTGTAGACGTAAGCAAACAACAGTGTGTCTGTGTATACACAATGTAGACACAGACAACGAATGGTGTGTTGGTGTATACACAAGGTAGACATAGACAGCCAAACAATGTGTTGGTGTATACACAATGTAGACACACACAAACAACAGTGTTGGTGTATACACAATATAGACATAGACAAACAACAGTGTGTTGGTGTATACGAAATGTAGACCAAGATAAACAACGATGTGTTGGTGTATACGAAATGTAGACATAGACAAACAACAGTGTGTTGGTGTATACACAATGTAGACACAGACAACAGTGTTGGTGTATACACAATATAGACATAGACAAACAACAGTGTGCTAGTGTAAACACAATGAAGACATAGACAACCAATGGTGTGTTGGTGTATACACACTGTAGACACAGACAAACAACAGTGTTGGTGTATACACGATATAGACACAGACAAACAACGGTGTGTTGTTGTACACACAATGTAGACATAGACAAACAATTGTGTGTTGGTGTATTCACAATATAGACATAGACAAACAATGGTTTGTTTTTGTATACACAATGTAGACATACACAAGCAACAGTGTGTTGGTGTATACACAACGTAGACAGACAAACAACAGTGTTGGTGTATACACGATGTAGACTCAGGCAAACAACGGTGTGCTGGTGTATACACAATGTAGACACACACAAACAACAGTGTGTTGGTGTATACACACGGTAGACTCAGGCAAACAACAGTGTGTTGGTGTATACACAATATAGACACAGACAAACAATGGTGTGTTGGTGTAGACACAATGTAGACAGACAAACAATAGTGTGTTGGTGTATATACAATGTAGACAGCCAAACAACAGTGTTGGTGTATATACAATGTAGACACAGACAAACAACGGTGTGTTGGTGTATACACAATGAGGACAAGCAACAATATCAACATATTATCGGGTCCATTTTATTCAGCAGTGTATTAAAGATATATTTTTTTAACAAAAATATTTAAAAGTCTATGCTACAGATGTGAATTTGTATCAACTGTAAGTTGGTTTGACATTGACCAACATGTTTTGACCTTGACCAAGATATTAAAGAAATTTGTTTGGAGTAAATATCTGATACTATATCTCTAACACCTTTTGAATTGTGTATTGCGTCCTGTTTTTAGGTAAATACGCACTTAGATCGATTTGACTTCTTGGTTGTCCATTTTAACCGAGTTTTAGTACATATTGCATATGCTATTTCAATATTGAGCAGGTCATTGTGGGCTTTGATTTGGTACCAGTAAATCTTCTCTACGATACGCTAAACACAAAAGTATGACGGAGTTATCGCCCCTATTAATTAACCAGGAACCCTCAATTCTGAGGCGAGCTATATTCAAATTTTCATTATTTTTTTTACGTTCAATTCCGTTTTTTACTCTGTCATCTGTAAAATAAAATAATATCTTAATGTATATTTGATAGCTATTGTCTTTGATCGACAAAAATGAAATGTGTGTTTAAAACTGAATCTTTGGTTGAAACTAGTAAGCAAGTTGTTCAAAATCCGGACAATTTCTTTGATATAATTGTTAATAAAGCTAAGTTAATGTAAAATGAAGCGTCTTCTATATTGCTTTTATCATAATTTCATAAGCACATTATTTTCGATTATTATCAATAATATCTAACACTCAGTCGGATAATTAATAAGTTCAATCCGTAATATTAATGATATGTTCGGTCAGGGTATTAGAAAAAACTTAAACACCAAAATGGCGGAAAGAGAGCAGGAATAAAAAGCGTGATGAAAAGTGATATGCATCATGATATAACTGTTTCAAATATTCTTCGTAGGTAAGTACAATTATTTTCTGGGTATTTAAGAAATACCAAAATATGGTAACGTATTTGCTTTTTCAATGGTTCCAATTACATTTTTGTTATAAGGAGTGCAGGGAGGGAGGGGGGGGGGGGGGGGGGGGGTTGAGATGTTCTGTCTTTGTCGATATAAACATGTTATACATACGGCAGATACCTATTATTCAGTCCATATTTGGTATGTTGTCATGTGTACCTGCCTGATCAACTGCGTCTTTCTGATATTTAACTTTTGTCACTTTCCGTATTTCAGCTTTTAAAAAACGTCATATGAATTGATGCACAAACATCAGAATATATCACAGTGTCATGTGCTGTTTAGTATTCAGAGTCTGTTTATAAAAATAAGAATATTGTATTTGTGTAAGCCCATTAAATATGAAAGAAGAAATACCATTTGAGATAAATGTTCTGATTTCCAGGTAATCGTGAAACAACAACATGATGGTGGCATCACCTCTTAGTCCCCATGATGCCTCAGCACAGCTTACGACTTTCAAGTCATATGTGGCACTGATTGATGATCCAACTCCGGGAAGTAAGTAATATGCATATGTACATGTAACCATGGCAATTACATACACCTACCTATATAAACTAGTGCATGTGGACCCATAGTTTGGAGATTCAGAACATTGTATACATTCAAGTCTAAATCACCAACATACCTGGTATATATGGAAATAGGTAACAACATCTTAAAAGCTGGAAACTTTTGCATGATTCTGATTTGACAATTTGACCTGATTCAGTATTGATTTATTGGTGATCAAGGACAGGGTGATGATTAAACAAATTGACCTGATTCAGTATTGATTTATTGGTGATCAAGGACAGGGTGATGATTAAACAAATTGATCTGACTCCTGTTTTTAACAGTTGAGACAGATGTGAAAGATGGAAAGAAAGCTGATAAGATCTGACTGTTTCTTGTCACCAAACTTTTTTGTTTGTTGTAACCTTTTCCTTCGAATGTCATAATCACAATATAAACTCGATCAACAGCATAGTGATTTAAGTTTTTCTTCTATTTTTATATCATTAGTTGTGGAGAAAAAACTCAAAGCTGCACAAGAATTGAGCGAGAACTTTGAGGTCAGAGGTTTCTGGCAGGTATGTACCCATATATAACCTTCCCATGTAATGTCAGTGACATCTTTCTAGTGATGTTTATCAAAAAAAATAACTACCAGTTATGCTCATACAACATCAACATTGTTATAATTCACACTAGACCATCTGCTTTCTGAATAATCAGATAAATGTAAAAATAGGGGGCTAAAAAAGACAAAAAAAAAGAATTTTTCATTGTAAAAGATATATGCATTAACTTTCACTAAAAAACATAAAAAATCTATATAATCAATTTTCACTGTAACCAAGGCCCGTGTTTCACATGTGAAAGCAGTTTTTGAAAAAAAAGTATAAATACATATTTCAACTTAAAATGCTTCTGATTATTGGAGCTGAGGATACATGATTAAAATGATTTATATATATCTGAAATACCCTTTTTGTTGGTCATTTGATATATTTTACCTGCATTTGTTTTTCAGAGTGTAGTACTCTCTCCACAATATCCACAATTCCTAGCCGATGCTTTGCGAGTATTCCTCAAGATTTTGGAGGAGGGAGAACCACAGTTTATAGCGGAACAAAATATGCAGGTAAGTAGAGACAGATTGACACTGTGTACTGTCACTGAGAGGTTTTTGTTCACAGAAAAAGTTGATGTATTAAGTCTGTATTTTCTTGGTCAATATTCATTGTTATACAGTATTTAGTATACAAATATTATATTGATTGACTGTTTTCATTGTTAACAGCAATTGAGAAAGTTATTGCTTGAGATTATACACCGAATTCCCAGTAATGACCACCTGAAGAAATTTGTACAGCAGATCTTGTCTCTCATGTTTAAACTTCTCAAGGTGAGTAGTACTTCAGTTTTGCAAAGTATTGATTTCTTTTTGTTGGGGATTTTTCATAAGTTCAAAGTCTTGTTTTACTTTTGTACAGAGGGTCAAATTCCAGTTATATTTTTTAGCACAAGTTGATAGGACTGTTAATACAACTGATAATTAAAATAGGAAAGAACGTTTCATTTATGTCCCCCTTGGCTAAGAGTACAAAAAAAGCATTTTTCCCTGTAAGTATATTAGTATACATATATTCTAAGTTTGATTCTATGTTTTAAGCTATATGTTGTTTACCATTTATAGATAGAGAATGAGGAAAATGTGTTGGTTTGTTTGCGGATCATCATAGAGCTACACAAACAGTATAGACCACAGATGAATGAGGAGGTATATAACACACCCAATGGACCTTTTGTCATTCTATAGATACACACCTAATTTAAATAACTTATGTGATATGATAACAGCTAACATTATTTATTTGAGACAGGATATCAAAAATATATAATTTGATTTGGCATTGATCTAAATTCGATGTTGAGACATTTTTCTTTTTTTGACAAAAATGTTTTAAAGTATACTTATCTTATTTATTAAATTCTCTAGTAGTACTGATACTGATTCACTGTTAGAAATTGTAACTTTGTGATTGTCCCTGACATTTTCTTGTTTTTATTAATTTTAGATCAAAGATTTTCTTACATTTGTGAAGAGTATCTACAATGCCATCCCTAACCACTTACCAAAGATTTTTGAACCTCACAACCAAGTAAAGGTGAAGGACGTGATGGAGATCAATGTAGATGCTCTCCTCCAGGAGACATTCACCGTCACAACCATCATGACTGATAAGAAAAATGCTGATAATCAAAACATTTCTGTAAGTTTAAACAGGCAACATTATTAAAAAATCAATATTGTTTTTAGGCAGAAATAGTAAACACTGTGCGAGGGATTCTAATTTTGCAATTGATGTGGATGGAATACAAAGAGTAAATGATGATACCTTGAAAATAAGAAGAATGTTAAAAATGGCATGTTTTGTGATTTCATTAAAATTCCAAACCTTTCTATTTAAACTTTTGGTAAAATCAAAAATTCGGAAAAAATGAATCATGTAAAAAATACCATTACAATAATATGGTAAAGGCCAAAAACACATTTCTGTTGATATCAATGTAAAAACTCTTTTTTTTTCCAGTATAACATCATTCCACGTGGGATCCTGTCCCTTAAGGTGTTGGCTGAGCTCCCCATCATAGTAGTCTTGATGTACCAGCTTTACAAGCAAAACGTCCACCAGGAGGTCGCAGATTTCATTCCTCTGATTATGAACACCATCATCCTACAGCCAGCCAGTGTCCACAGGTCAGTCTTGACACATAGAGAATTAAAACTGGGAGTGTGACTAGTATGAATATTACTGATGCTGAGAGTGTGACTAATTTAGAAATTCCTTATCTCGTATCACATATTGTGGTTTGTGGATGGACGCACCATGTCCTGTACGTAGCATTAACTTCTGAATAAATGTTGCCTTCCACTATCATAGGATACTTCCTTGTGGTGGGTCACCATTGCACCTAGAACATGATTTTAGTGTGTTTAGCCAGACACATGCAAGTATTTCTTAAAATCAAAAACAAGATTTTATCAGAAAAACCTTGGTTTACGCAAGTAGATAAAACCTGTCTATAAACGTCACTCGGGGAGCAGAAAAAAATAACCTCTTCACACAGGTGCTCTTTCTATTACTTTGAATAGCATTACAAAGGGAACCGAAAATGCAACCTATATAGACAGTTGGCCTTTATAGGAATGAAATATGGTGTTCAACAACCTGTCATATTTTGCAATGTTTATAGTGATGGTTTTTAAGGGAAGAGAATTTCAGAAATACACGGAATTGGTTGTTTGAAACTTTTGAATTTCAGAATCTGCTGTTATTTGATTGATTCATCTTGTCTATTGTTGTGTTGTAGGTCCAGTCCATCCTTTAACAAGGAGGTGTATGTGGATTTCATTGCAGCCCAAATAAAGACATTGTCATTCCTAGCCTACATCATCAGGTTTTATCAGGTAACAACAATCATACATAGGAGGTGTCTCAGTAATTTTTGTAGGATTTTTTACAGGCAAATCCAGACCATCGTTTTGAAAATTTTGATGAGCCTCAATGCTTAGAGATATAGTGGTGCCAAAAGAAAATTTTAAGTCCAGGACTCAAATATCTGAGTCCCAAAAATCACTGTCTGTTTGTAAAAGCAGGTGGTGGTAAAAGATATAAGATGATGAATCATTTTAATGAGAAAGAAACTTAAATTGGTAGTAGGACAGTGATAAGTACTGTTGTTTAAAAGCCTCATATTTGTAAAGATGAACTATTTCATTTAAAAAAGAAATCAAAATTAAAGCTAAAGATTTTCCTTTCTTATGCTGACTAGGATGATAATGTATCAAAATTACATCAGAAATAGAAATGATTGTTACAAACAGAATAAAATTATGGTGTGATTATTTGGTATGCTGTTATGTATATTCAGGAACAAGTTCAGGTACATGCCACTCCGATGATGAAAGGTCTTCTGGGATTGCTCACCTACTGTCCACAGGAAGTCGCTCACCTCCGTAAAGATCTGTTGATTGCTGCACGACATATCCTGGCCACAGACCTAAGAAATAGTAAGCTCCTAGAATTTTATGTACTTCATCAAACTTTTGTTAAATCTATGAAGTAAATATTATCACGGTGTTATCTGCAAAGTGAAAATCGACAATTCTAGTTGACCTTCTCCATGTTATATAATTGACGAAGTTGAGTATCTGCTTATATAACACTGTAGAGATGCTTTAGTGAGATGTTGAAAAGTTTGTTGAAGTTCTGCAGATATTTGAGTAGATATGTGAATAGTCTGTGGATAAAGAAACATTTTGACACTTGATTTTATACAAGTCATTTCAAATTTTGTAAGAGAAAGTTGTCTGCTCTAGTTGTTGAATTTATTGCATTTCAAAAAACACTTTTGTTTGCGTTTTTGTAATACTTTTGGTTGGTGAACCAATTTTTGTGAAATTAATTATATGAACAAGTAAGACTATAAATATCTACTGATGTCCTTTTTTGCAGAGTTTGTTCACTGTATAGACAAGCTCTTTGATGAGAATGTCCTGATTGGTTCTGGCTGGACAACATATGAGTCACTGCGTCCCTTAGCTTACAGCACACTTGCTGACCTTGTCCATCATGTTCGACAGGCTTTACCACTCAATGAGCTCTCTCTTGCTGTGAACTTGTTTAGTAAGAATGTTCATGATGAGTCCCTGCCAAGTTCAATTCAAACAATGTCATGTAAACTTCTATTGAACCTGGTAGAGTGTATTCGTGCCAAGAGTGAGCAGGAGAATGGAAATGTAAGTCACACGTACATAGTGTTTATACATGATATTTCTGCTCTCTTCCACAATTAATTATAATGACAATGATATTAAGGCTAATCATGAAAGATCAGGAAAGTAAGTGGGTAACATTTGCACTTGTGTTTTTTTGCCGTCACTGAATTTTTCAGTCTATGTCCAGTTTTGAATTTGCTCTTAAATACACAGGGAACTTAAGCTCAGGTATTACATTCTTCCTGCTGGCAAGACAGCAAACTTGGTAAAAGTTGAGACTGGACAAATATTTGTCCGATCTCCAGTATCTTGCTTTGTATAATATATGATAATATTCACATTGTCAGATCATCATTAAGTCTCTTTTTGACGTTTTCCTTCTTTTATCAAATTTTTATCATTTTTAAAAATTTACCTCAGAAAATAAGAATGTTCCAAAATTGCAGTTGGTTTTTCTCGATGAACATGTATTGCTTACTTTTTCAGGGGAGAGAACTCTTGATGAGGATGCTAGAGGTTTTTGTTCTCAAGTTTAAAACCATTGCCAAAATACAGCTTCCACAGATCCTGCAGAAGTGGTGAGTGTATCCCTGGACAAACAAACTGCCAGTCTTCATAAATGATTGTAATGAAATGTTGTGATGTGATTTCCTACGTTGTAAGGGCCTTGCTAAAATCCAGGAACATTTGGTCTATTAGAGAGGACTTATACACTTGTAAGATAGAATGTTGTGGGTAGTGCTGGTACATGAGAAATATCTGTTGGAGATAACCCACTGAAGCTTATGGTAACTTTTCTTCACTAAAAATGTTTGTTTCAGAAGTTTGTTGAGTTTGTTTTAATGTGTCTAAATATACATGATGCATTACTGTTCATGTTGCATTGACAGTAAATCCAAATTCAGTTTAACAGATTTAGAAACCTAGTAATGTTTATGCATTGAATTTAAACATCACTTGATAGATTTGGAAAGTGTTCATAGCATATAATTTGAAGATTTTCTTTCACAGTAAACAACAACCCCAGGTCCCAAACAACAACCACCAACAGCCTGTTGATCCTAAAACACCAGCAGCTGATGTGAAACCAACACTGGAGCTACCAAAAGTAGCGGCTGAGGGGATGAAGGCAGGACTTGATATTTCCAAACCTCCTGGTGATTCAGTTAAAGATGACAATAAACTACCTTCTCAAGGTCTGCTCTCTGATAGTGTGAAGGACAAAGAAGATAAACCTTGGTCGGAGAAAGGACCAGGGGAGGTAATTCATCAAAGTCAATTTACAAGTAAAATTTTAAATTATGCTGTAACATTTAAAAAAAAAAATAAAAAAATTTCTTCAACATATTTTAAATTGTTAAAATGATAATAAGGCATTGGTTTTGCTCCATGTTTTATTTGCATTTTCAAAGGTTGCATTTATTTCAGAACCGATTTGGGGTGACACCGAGTCAGTACACAACATATTCTGTGACAGACTGTCGTGGCCTGGTGAAGACGTTGGTCTGCGGAGTGAAAACCATTACATGGGGCATTGTGTCCTGCAAAGCGGCAGGTGTTGGTCAGTATACAGGCCATTTGTGGGTATAGAAAGTGATATTTAAAAACACTGCTGCCAACATGTATTATCTGCTTTTCTGGCTTTGGACTGTACTGTAGAATCATTAATTTGGGAGATTTATTTTCATTGATTTCATGTGTACTCTTTTTCCATGAATTCATATGTCCATGAACTGGTAGCTTTGGTATAAGTGGATTTATTGAGCTATGTTTATCCACGAAATAAAGTGTCCCTTAAATAATTAAAAAAAAAAAAAAAAACAGCGAAAATAGAGCTCCACCAAAATATATGATTTTACAGTATGTGAACTTTTATTTTTAAACTTGTCAAAACTACATGTTACGATGATTCCTAAACTCACTTTATTTGGAGTTTTACTTGCCAACATGTTGTCTAAACCTGGCTTTTTTGTATCTCCCAGATGCGACAGTGATGCAGAGTAAACAGTTCTTACCGAAGGAGGCTCTAGTCTACATCCGCCTGGTAAAGTACGCCCTACAAGCTCTGGATATATACACCATCAATGTATCTCCGTCAGGACAGGCTGTTATCAGACCTGCTGTGTAAGTCACATGAAATGATTAGGCTACAGATGAAGCGCAGATGATACTGTAAAATGTTTAAATTTTGAGGTTGATATTTGTGTTGATTTCCAGATTTGAAGTGTCTTTTAGGAGTTGGGATTGACATGATAAAGTGTTTATGTTTGTAGGGTACAGACTGTAAGGACCAAGGAAGAGAAAGAAGTCCTGGAACATTTTGCTGGTGTGGTGAGTACTAATTACACTGATGAGTTGGTAAAAAGGTGAAAAGCATGTCTGCAGATAGACAAAAGGTGAAAAAACAGAAGTATGCAGTGTTTATTATGGAGGTACAGTAAGATCCATGGTTGGAAATGGGAGATTCTATGATTGCTGTACAAATGAATGTGTAGTGTCAATACATGATTGAAAGTCAGTGGCTTTTACAGTAGCCTGTGCTTACATAAAATTGATATCAATATTTCTAAAAATCAAAAGCATTTTTCTTCAGACGTTACTGAAGCAACAATACTATCATCTTCTTTCCAGTTTACTATGATGCACACTCTGACATTCAAGGAAATATTTGCCCAGACAGTAGAGGTGAGTTATATCAACAGTCTGATTGTTGACTATGTGGTAAACTGAAGGAGTTTACATTAATCATTTTGAAAATATTTTCTTGTTATCTTACTTTCCATCACTGCTGAAGACAATACTCTGATATTGGTCATATCTACTATCTTCAGCTTATTGTCATAAAACTGCAAACAGTATCTGTTAAAAAATTTTTTTCAAATGAATCTAAAGATAAAATGTTACTAAAATAATATTTCCGCATGAAAGAAGTTGCTCTGATGTTATTAATTTTAAAAAGTTAGATTGTTGTGATGATGAATGTTTTCCATGTGGATATTTTTCTCTGTGTTTTCAGTATATGGTGGATAGAATTCACAACAACTATGCTCTTCAGGTAAGCACTAACTTTATCTATATGTATTGGTGTTCATAATACAGATGTAAGTTATTCGAGAGATGAAAAATGTAGTGAGGTAGGTGCAGTGTTATGGGATGGGTCAATCAGATGTGTTACAATATTCTATACTTGTGGCCCTGATGGGAGGGGTATATGAAGATTTGTTAACCTAAAGGTGTCATATCTCCTGATAATGTAGCTACAATAGAACAAACAATTTCAACTCCTTTTTCAATATATTATGTACATATCTATACGGATCATTCTAAGTGTAGTATGAAGTGTTGTGGTTACAAGAAAACTTTGATCTTCAAAATAGTGTCCACAAGCATCTAAGTGGTGCTCCTCATTTGATGGAGAGTGGCGAGCACTTGTGTTAATATACATGTGTGAGTTTAATTGAAGTAATTCTGATTTCTTAAAATTATCAGTTTGATTGTATTTATTTCCAGATTGTGGCAAACTCGTTTCTGGCAAACCCAACCACCTCTGCTACTTTTGCCACAATCCTGGTTGATTACCTTCTGGCTCGTCTGGAGGAGATGGGTTGTAAGTATCTCACAATTCTATTAGTCATGAACAGAGCATCTTTGCTCTTTAGTTACAAGTGACTTGATTGGCTAAAACACTCATTGATAACTGATTTTATGTAACACCTCATCCTATTGATGGAAATACTTTTGTAAGACAAAGTCACCCTTTTAGGTTACTATCTGCTGTGGGTGACAAGTGATACTGTAACTCTACTTTTTAATAATGTAATGTCATTGTGAACTGAAACACATATTCAATTCTTCTAAAACTATCACTTTATACCCCTGTTGTTTCTGTAGCTACTATGGACCGATCAAATCTGTACCTGAAACTTTTCAAGCTGGTGTTTGGTTCTGTGTCGCTGTTTGCTGCAGAGAATGAGAAAATGTTAAAGGTTGGTATATAAGAAAAAAATTACAGCGAATACTGTTTAACGCTTTTTATCTTAAAACTTCCGTTTATTTACTTCAACAAGCTCTATAAACAAGTAACCACATCTTTCACAAATCAATGGATGCAGTTATATGATCACAAATATTTTTTCGAATTGCAGAGAATGAGAAAATATTTTTGTAACTGATTTGTCTGAAGCTCTACAAAGAATTTAACCATTTTAGAAGCTATAATGATGTATGACTGAAACTAAATCTCATCCTTGTTTTGGTGTTGATAGCCCCATCTTCACACAATTGTCAACCGATCTATGGAGTTGGCAATGAGTGCAAAGGAGCCGTATAACTACTTCCTGTTATTGCGGGCTTTGTTCCGCTCCATTGGAGGCGGTAGTCATGACCTTCTGTACCAAGAGTTCCTGCCCTTGCTACCAAATCTACTGCAAGGTAAAGCATTCAGTAGAATCAATCTTTTTATGTCACTGTTCAACATGAATTCAGATACAAGACAATATACATGTATTATTGAAACTACAGTGCAACTTCCCAAAAAGGTTCCTTCTCAGTACCGATCACACATTGAAACTTAGTGAAATGGCTATGCACCAAATGATGTCCCTTTATTATAGTAGTAAAAACCTTCTCAATATTAATCCCTCTCAATTCTGAATACTGAACAGATTTTGTGTCCAAAATTATTGAAATATATTGAAAATCACTTCTTAAAACTGGCCTTACCTGAACAGTCACACCTGAGTTCTGACCAGTGCCTATTACAGGGAGGCTTTGTGCAAAATACATACACTAATTGTAGGATTATACTTAACATAATGTAATGTTATCTCAAGTGACAAATTGAAACCATATCAAATGAGTACATTGTTTCACGAAAGCCAAAAACGGCTACAGAGGATGTGGAAATAAGTACTGATGCAGGGTTAAAAAGCTGCAGTTGTCAGTCTAAATCGTTGGTAATTGAATAATGTTAATTTAACACATACAGAATAGAAAATTGGTTTATTTTTCTTATCAGTGAAAACACTTTTACATTAAACTGATCAGCCAACAGGAGCTATGTCACGGTATATGTAATGCTACTTTCGAGATAGCCAAACAATGCAGATTTCTTCTTGGCTGAATTCGCATGTGATATAAAAATATCACTGTTTTTCCTCTTTGCCGAAGTATTTTTTGCTCCATAAAGTATTTTTCTGTATTCAGTTTGGCATCTGTTGTGTAAATACTGAAGGCGAATGTAATGTAATGTAATGTTGTAACAGTGGTGATGTTTAAACACACGGGAAAGTTTAGACAGATGAGATGCTGTATGTTTCCTTATACAGGCCTTAACAGTCTACAGAGTGGACTACATCGCCAGCACATGAAGGACCTGTTTGTGGAGCTCTGTCTGACTGTCCCTGTCCGACTCAGCTCTCTACTGCCTTACCTACCTATGCTGATGGATCCACTGGTGTCCGCACTTAATGGATCACAGACCCTTGTCAGTCAGGTAGGTATATTGACAGTCTTTGTTAGCATGACAATTTGTCAATCCTGTCGCTCGCTTCCATCTGTAGGTTGTGAAATGGTATTCACCATTTGATCTAAAGATAATTCTCACAGTTAATTGATACTTTCATTTTAAAGTGAAATTTTAAATTAAAGTTTTTTCTACATTGAATATTTTACCTTCGTGTTATGTAAAATATTTTATCACATGTTTCTGTTCTCAGGGTTTGCGGACACTTGAATTGTGTGTTGACAATCTCCAACCTGACTTCCTGTATGACCATATACAACCTGTCAGGGCAGAGCTTATGCAGGTGAGTTAAAAGAGGGCTAGTGTAGCTTGCAGGTCAGTTTAAGAGGGCTTGTGTAGTAACATTTATGGTTTTGTGAAGGAAAAGGCATTGTGGAAAAGATCAAAAAAATTGTTGCAAGTAAAGTTTCCCGCGATGCGGGTGCCCTATAGTAATCACCTTGTCCGTCTGTCTGTCCGTCTGTCTGTCCGTCTGTCTGTCTGTCCGTTTCGCTTTCTGCACGATATCTTGAGAAGGAATGATGAGATTTTGATGAAACTTGCTTATGATACTTGGTACATAAGTCCCTTGCTCAAGTTCGATGTTCGCCAAATTCCGCGCATATTTAATGAGGCTGCTGCAATCTGATTGGCTGAATGTTTTACATGTCTGTCGGTTTCGCTTTCCGCGCGATATCTTGAGAAGGAATGATGGGATTTCGATGAAACTTGCTTATGATACTTGGTACATAAGTCCCTCGCTCAAGTTCGATGTTTGCCGAATTCCGCGCATATTTAATGAGGCTGCTGCAATCTGATTGGCTGAATGTTTTACAGAGAATATCTTCTGAAGGAATGATTTGGGATTTCTTTAAAACTTGCTTTGTGATACTTGGTACATAAGCCCCTCATTCGAGTTCAATGTTCACCCTGTCCGTCTGTCTGTCTGTCCGTTTCCCTGTCCGTCGATCCATATATCTGTCCATCTGTCCATTTTCATTGGATTTTGATGAAAGTTGCTTTCAATACTTGACAACTGTCCATATATTTCTTAATATTAAGAAACTCAATCATAAGGGGTAGGTATTATGCGGGGCCCTTCCTCGACATTGGTCTAGTTCTTTCTTTTTGATAAATACATAAATTTTGTCAATGAAAGTAAATTGAGTAAACACACTTCAAACAAAATCAGTCAGCATCCTAGCTTTTTGCTTCATTATTGATCATCAAAAATAAGTGAAAATAAAACAAAGAGTCGCAACATAGCACTATCAGACTGAAAATATGTGTCTCCAGAGACAGTCACTTAGTCCATGTTTGGTGATGTGTCCTTTCTCACCACAGGCCTTATGGAGGACACTACGAAGTCCTGTCGACAACATTGCTCATGTGGCATTCCGGGTGCTTGGGAAATTTGGTGGTGGTAATAGAAAGATGTTGAGGGAACCACAAAGGGTAAGTTTATATAGAAATGTGAGATCTATTGATTGTTTAATATAGCTGTTGTCCACCAAATTTTAGGTCACCTTAGACAAAGTCTTATAGTGACACATTGCATTCATCTTCGGCATTGTGCATCCATAAACAATTTTATATTTTCTACTTTTCTCAAAAACCTCTGAAACGATTTCAATGAAATTTTGCAGAAACTTTCTTTGACCAAAGATGAACCAAAAAAGTAAATATGGTCCCCATCCCACAGGGGCCTGAGGGACAGGGCCAGAAAGGGTCAAATTAACTTCAAAAATCTTCTTGTCAACACCCAGATATAAAAAAATCAAATAATCTTCAAGGATGGAAGCATATTAAATGCTGTTTCAAAATTGTGTATTTCATGGCCCCAGGGTCTCACTTTTTCCCTATGGGGAGGGGGTAAACTTTACTATAGTTCATATGGGAAAAATAGATTTTTGAGCACAACTTATTTAATTTCCATTGGAAAAATTTCAAACCTGGTTAGAATTATGAGAGAAGGATGAGGGTTTGATGGTATGTCCACATTGATCCTATCTGATCCCCAGGGGCTGATGGGCAAGGCCGAAAGGGGTCAAATTGACTCAGATTTCAAAAATCTTCTTAATACCCGGGTATTCATGGATGGAAGCATCTTAAGATGCTTAAATTACCAAGATGTCAAATTTATGCATACTAGGTTGGCTATGACAATACATCACTGGCAGTCATGTTTCAAGGTTAAAGGGCAAAGTCACTGTTACTAGTTACAGAAATTGTCAAACATTGATATATATATATTGTATGGGAGTGGTGAGCTTATTCAATTCTGTGACAAAATGTTTGATATATTTTATTGTTATTATATACAAAAGCATATTTCTAGCGTAGTTATGTTTTCTTTCTTCAGCTACAATACAATGACCGTGAGACTGTTGGACCCTGTATCACTATCTACTTCCAGGATGTGAAAACTCCCATCACCCTTCCGGTGGAAAAGGTCAGTCTGGTTTACTGTAATGCTATAACAGCAGTAAATTAGATAACAATCTAGTTAGACAAACATATAAACAATCCCTGATATCAGTGTTCTATTGATTAAACTTGCAATCTCTCTCCTGTTTCTTACAGGCATGTGATCTCTAGCTTCTTCTATTTGATACAACAAAATAGCTAATGGCTAGACTCCAAATTTTTGTCTGTCTGAGGTAATAAGTAACATTACAACAGCCTGTTATCTTTCTAACAGAAGAATATTCCAAAATTTCATAGGAGGGGTTTGAGGTACTTTAACAGACACTGCCTTCCAATAAGTTTTATTTGGGAATAAGCCCATGTCTTGCAATATGCATGTCCATATCTAATGCCTTTCTGTAGAATAACTTGCAGCATGCTATTATATTGTCATGTGAAAATTAGCACACCCTCTGACTTTGAGTCAGAGAAGGTTTGTTGGCCCCCTGGACTTACTGTAGGATAAACTCTGTATATATGATCCTTCCACCCCCATGATAATTATGGCACAGTTCTATTGCTTTTATTACCGGTTATTGAAGTCGTCCTCACAACTTTCCATTATTGTCTGAATTGCAGGCGATCGATGCTGCCCTCACCACTCTGAAGTGTAGTACATCTGACAACTTTGCAAGGAGACAGGCCTGGGAACTCATCAAGTGTTTCTTAGTATCTGTGATGAACTTGGAGGATGATAAACAGACACTCACCAACCTATTCACCCATCCAAGGTAATGTCTCACCCTCTTCACCCATCCAAGGTAATGTCTCACCCTCTTCACCCATCCAAGATAATGTCTCCCCCTCTTCACCCATCAAAGGTAATGTCTCACCCTCTTCACCCATCCAAGGTAATGTCTCACCCTCTTCACCCATCCAAGGTAATGTCTCACCCTCTTCACCCATCCAAGGTAATGTCTCACCCTCTTCACCCATCCAAGATAATGTCTCACCCTCTTCACCCATCCAAGGTAATGTCTCACCCTCTTCACCCATCCAAGGTACTGTCTCACCCTCTTCACCCATCCAAGGTAATGTCTCACCCTCTTCACCCATCCAAGGTAATGTCTCACCCTCTTCACCCATCTAAGGTAATGTCTCACCCTCTTCACCCATCCAAGGTAATGTCTCACCATCTTCATCCATCCAAGGTAATGTCTCACCCTCTTCACCCATCCAAGGTAATGTCTCACCCTCTTCACCCATCCAAGATAATGTCTCCCCCTCTTCACCCATCCAAGGTAATGTCTCACCCTCTTCACCCATCCAAGGTACTGTCTCACCCTCTTCACCCATCCAAGGTAATGTCTCACCCTCTTCACCCATCCAAGGTAATGTCTCACCCTCTTCACCCATCCAAGGTAATGTCTCACCCTCTTCACCCATCCAAGGTAATGTCTCACCCTCTTCACCCATCCAAGGTAATGTCTCACCCTCTTCACCCATCCAAGGTAATGTCTCACCCTTTTCACCCATCCAAGGTAATGTCTCACCCTTTTCACCCATCCAAGGTAATGTCTCACCCTCTTCACCCATCCAAGGTAATGTCTCACCCTCTTCACCCATCCAAGGTACTGTCTCACCCTCTTCACCCATCCAAGGTACTGTCTCACCCTCTTCTCCCATCCAAGGTAATGTCTCACCCTCTTCACCCATCCAAGGTAATGTCTCACCCTTTTCACCCATCCAAGGTACTGTCTCACCCTCTCCACCTTCCCATGGTACTGTCTCACCCTCTTCACCTTCCCATGGTCCTGTCTCACCCTCTTCACCTTCCCATGGTACTGTCTCACCCTTTTCACCCATCCAAGGTAATGTCTCACCCTCTTCACCCATCCAAGGTAATGTCTCACCCTCTTCACCCATCCAAGGTACTGTCTCACCCTCTTCACCCATCCAAGGTACTGTCTCACCCTCTTCACCCATCCAAGGTAATGTCTCACCCTCTTCACCCATCCAAGGTAATGTCTCACCCTCTTCACCCATCCAAGGTACTGTCTCACCCTCTTCACCCATCCAAGGTAATGTCTCACCCTCTTCACCTTCCCATGGTACTGTCTCACCCTCTTCACCTTCCCATGGTCCTGTCTCACCCTCTTCATCTATCCAAGGTACTGTCTCACCCTCTTCACCTTCCCATGGTACTGTCTCACCCTCTTCACCTTCCCATGGTCCTGTCTCACCCTCTTCATCTATCCAAGGTAATGTCTCACTCTCTTCACCTTCCCATGGTACTGTCTCACCCTCTTCACCTTCCCATGGTCCTGTCTCACCCTTTTCATCCATCCAAGGTACTGTCTCACCCTCTTCACCCACCCAAGATAATGTCTCAACCTTTTCATCCATCCAAGGTAATGTCTCACCCTCTTCACCCATCCAAAGTACTGTCTCACCCTCTTCACCTTCCCATGGTACTGTCTCACCCTCTTCACCTTCCTATGGTCCTGTCTCACACTCTTCATCTATCCAAGGTACTGTCTCACCCTCTTCACCTTCCCATGGTACTGTCTCACCCTCATCACCTTCCCATGGTCCTGTCTCACCCTCTTCACCCATCCAAGGTACTGTCTCACCCTCTTCACCTTCCCATGGTACTGTCTCACCCTCTTCACCTTCCCATGGTACTGTCTTGTCACACATGGTTCTTGTAATATAGAAATGTTCCGCTGGGATGTGATTTTATTGATTTATTTGAAGACTTTGATAATCATCACTAAAGATATCGACTGAGTTGTGTATATTATCTTTAAAGATATTTTTAACCATTTCAAAATTTTGCAAATGTCCATTCTTCATATATTGATTTCATCAAGATTCCAGAGTTGTTACATTTGATTTCCTGGTAACAAAAGATGATGTGATTTATTATACAAGAGGTTGTGTTGACAATGTTTTCTTTATCAGAACAATATTTGGTTTACTTTCAGCTTCACAGAGAAGGAAATTCCCCTACAGACAGGACCCCTGTATAAAAACCCTGATTCTCATTCACGGAGGGTCCATGAACAAGCTCTTACGGGCATGTTTGGTAAGTTTTATACATTTTTATTAGAAAGCAGTTAAATTTTTATATTCACAAGGTAGGTACTCAACCCCCACCGAAGAAGGCAAGGGCTGTTCCATCAGCTGGCCTCGATTTTCTGGGATGCTTATGGTATTCGGATGGTAGATTATCTACAAAATTGACAAACAATCAATGGCAAATATTATGCGTTACTTCTTAGGCAGTTCAGAGAAAATATTAAACTCAAGCGCAATGGAAAATTCAGTAAAGATATGTTGTTTGACCAGGACAATACCCCTGTTTCCAAGTTTGTCATTGTCATGGCTGCCATTAATGATTGTGGCATTGAATTGATTAAACATCCACCTTGTTTGCCCGATCTCACTCCATCAGACTTTATTTATTTCCATTTCCAGTACCTACGTTCAGTTAGATGATAATGTCATACATAAAGTGGCAAAAAAAGGTGGCGTTGGGGCCCTTTAACATCGCTGGCAAAAGTGTATATATACTGAAGGGGATTGTGTTGATAAATAATGCAATACATACCAAAGTCCAACCCTCAAATATGGGGCTCACGACTGATCAATCAGCCCTCATATCTCGCGAAACCATTGACAGCTTTAGTTCATATTCACGCTATATCATCACCCTACAAAGGTCGATACCTGATGATGTATTAGTGGTCATCAGGAAAGGTCAAAGGTCACCCTTGACCATAGATTTAGATCAGAAGAGAAAAACTGGGGGATGGGAGTAAATGAGACAAACATTTTACATGGTGTCATTTAACATTTGGCAGGAAGAAGAGAAACCATTTGTGAAGAAGTTGAGACACAGCTTGCTACTCTTGTGTTTGTTTAAGGAATAAATAGTATAGAGAACAGTTATAATGATTGTGTTTATTGACCTCGACCAGTTCTCTCTAACTTCTGTTTCATGTCAGTATTTCATATCGATGATGCTGTTTACATGACTGTAATGTTGTCTGTCTATCCCCAGTCGCGGCTGCCATTAAAGAGCTACGACAGACAGTGCTGACGTTCATGGCATGTATGGTCCGCCATTACACAATGATATCAATATCCCAGCAGTGTGGTAAGTAGGCAATATTCTAAAGCACCGAGGGATTTTTTTCACAAAGTATAGAAACAATATAACAATAATTCAAATGAGGAAATAAAATGGACAAAGTATGTTTGTATATATTTTAGATAATGGACAATTTAAAAAATATTTATTTTCATTCTATTGTAATGAGATTCCAGTGTTAAGTAATTTATAAGTCAAATATGAAATCCACCTGAAATGTAAGGAAGATCATGATGGTAAACAGTGTTGAATGTTTGACAGAGAAACTTGATTGAAGTCTTTGGATTCATGCACCATATGTCATTATGAAACTCTCCATTATATTGAAATTCACTTTTTTAGTTCATATGATCTGTTCAAATGTCACACATTGTAGTATTGTTGTTTGTTAGGTTGAGTTGAGTTAAGTATTGTTGTCAAGTCTATTTATAGATTATCTACATGTGGTCTTCCAGGTCCGTTCCCAGTAGGGGAGAAGCAAAGTAAACTACATGGGATGGACACACAGATCCTGATTGATGCACTGGCTGTCATCATGGGCCACGAGGAGAAGGAGCTATGTAAACCTGGCAACCTAGCTCTCATCCTTATCCTGGATACGGCTACAACCATACTTGGCAGCAAGGAGAAGGTACATGGTTTTTACAGAAGTTGGTTAACCAGTTTGCCAGGAATGGTATTTCTTACAAACTTTTCAACTGAACACACTTCAGAAAAAATGTCCCAGGGTTCCTCAGTTTATACAGCACATATATAACTTGCATTCAAATTGTCAAAAAATGGTATGATGGAACATATTTTAGGAGATCTTAGACTGTGCACAGTTTTGCAGTTATTAATAATTACATGCATTTTAAATGGCTTACTTTTACTTTCCTCTAAATTTTTATTGCTATTACATGTGATTTGTATGGTTATCATTCACTTCCCCCATACATACACAGGCATGTCAGCTGCCCATGTTTGACTATCTGGTGGAGAGAATGTGCTCCCTGTGTTACGACCGTGCCTGGTATGCCAAATGTGGAGGGTAGGTGTATGTCTCATTGTAATGGCGCTTAACCAGTGGTTAGTGTAGGCTGCTGTAGCAAATTTTGAGAATGCTACACTAATGACTTCTTATTGTGTTGTGTCTATGTTGATATAAAACTCTAGGCCAACAGGACTATGTTCCTCTGTTGTATTAAAGTAGAGGCTGATTTTGTGTTGTTCTTGTTATAACGTTTAAAGTGTGATAGAATGTAGTAAACTGGGATTAGTCTATGATAGAAAAAAATTTGTCTAAAAATGTTTATACACAGATATTGTTTGTTGTAGATGCCTGGCCATCAAGTTTATGTATGAACGAATGTCTTTAAAATGGGTACTAGAACACCAGTTTATCTTCCTAAAGGCGCTGTTGTTTGTCATGATGGATCTCACCAAAGAGGTATTCCTTTGAATACACCCCTAACAAGTCCATCTCTCCGGATGTTGCTCCGACATTTCCTTTGTACACACCCCTAACAAGTCCATCTCTCCTGATGTTGCTCAGACTTTTCCATTGTACACACCCCTAACATGTCAATCTCTCCTGATGTTACTCAAACTACACCTTTGTACACACCCCTAACATGTCAATCTCTCCTGATGTTACTCAAACTACACCTTTGTACACACCCCTAACATGTCAATCTCTCCTGATGTTACTCAAACTACACCTTTGTACACACCCCTAACATGTCAATCTCTCCTGATGTTACTCAGACTACACCTTTGTACACACCCCTAACATGTCAATCTCTCCTGATGTTACTCAAACTACACCTTTGTACACACCCCTAACAAGTCCATCTCTCCTGATGTAACTCAGACTACACCTTTGTACACACCCCTGACATGTCAATCTCTCCTGATGTTACTCAAACTACACCTTTGTACACACCCCTAACAAGTCCATCTCTCCTGATGTTACTCAGACTACGTCTTTGTACACACCCCTAACATGTCAATCTCTCCTGATGTTACTCAGACTACACCTTTGTACACACCCCTAACAAGTCCATCTCTCCTGATGTTACTCAGACTATTCCTTTGTACACACCCCTAACAAGTCCATCTCTCCGGATGTTGCTCCGACATTTCCTTTGTACATACCCCTAACAAGTCCATCTCTCCGGATGTTGCTCCGACATTTCCTTTGTACACACCCTAACAAGTCCATCTCTCTGGATGTTGCTCCGACATTTCCTTTGTACACACCCTAACAAGTCCATCTCTCTGGATGTTGCTCTGACATTTCCTTTGTACACACCCCTAACATGTCCATCTCTCCTGATGTTACTCAGACTATTCCTTTGTACACACCCCTAACAAGTCCATCTCTCCGGATGTTGCTCCGACATTTCCTTTGTACACACTCCTAACAAGTCAATCTCTCCTGATGTTACTCAGACTATTCCTTTGTACACACCCCTAACATGTCCATCTCTCCTGATGTTACTCAGACTATTCCTTTGTACACACCCCTAACATGTCCATCTCTCCTGATGTAACTCAGACTACACCTTTGTACACACCCCTAACATGTCCATCTCTCCTGATGTTACTCAGACTACACCTTTGTACACACCCCTAACATGTCCATCTCTCCTGATGTTACTCAGACTACACCTTTGTACACACCCCTAACATGTCCATCTCTCCTGATGTTACTCAGACTACACCTTTGTACACACCCCTAACATGTCCATCTCTCCTGATGTTACTCAGACTACACCTTTGTACACACCCCTAACATGTCAATCTCTCCTGATGTTACTCAGACTACACCTTTGTACACACCCCTAACATGTCCATCTCTCCTGATGTAACTCAGACTACACCTTTGTACACACCCCTAACATGTCCATCTCTCCTGATGTTACTCAGACTACGTCTTTGTACACACCCCTAACATGTCCATCTCTCCTGATGTTACTCAAACTACACCTTTGTACACACCCCTAACATGTCAATCTCTCCTGATGTTACTCAGACTACACCTTTGTACACACCCCTAACATGTCCATCTCTCCTGATGTAACTCAGACTACACCTTTGTACACACCCCTAACATGTCCATCTCTCCTGATGTTACTCAAACTACACCTTTGTACACACCCCTAACATGTCCATCTCTCCTGATGTTACTCAAACTACACCTTTGTACACACCCCTAACATGTCAATCTCTCCTGATGTTACTCAGACTATTCCTTTGTACACACCCCTAACATGTCCATCTCTCCTGATGTAACTCAGACTACACCTTTGTACACACCCCTAACAAGTCCATCTCTCCTGATGTTACTCAGACTAATACTTTGTACACACCCCTAACAAGTCCATCTCTCCTGATGTTACTCAGACTATTCCTTTGTACACACCCCTAACATGTCCATCTCTCCTGATGTTACTCAGACTATTCCTTTGTACACACCCCTAACATGTCCATCTCTCCTGATGTTACTCAGACTATTCCTTTGTACACACCCCTAACATGTCCATCTCTCCTGATGTTACTCAGACTACACCTTTGTACACACCCCTAACATGTCCATCTCTCCTGATGTTACTCAGACCTTTGTACACACCCCTAACATGTCCATCTCTCCTGATGTTACTCAGACTACACCTTTGTACACACCCCTAACATGTCCATCTCTCCTGATGTTACTCAGACTACACCTTTGTACACACCCCTAACATGTCCATCTCTCCTGATGTTACTCAGACTACACCTTTGTACACACCCCTAACATGTCCATCTCTCCTGATGTTACTCAGACTACACCTTTGTACACACCCCTAACATGTCCATCTCTCCTGATGTTACTCAGACTACACCTTTGTACACACCCCTAACATGTCCATCTCTCCTGATGTTACTCAGACTACACCTTTGTACACACCCCTAACATGTCCATCTCTCCTGATGTTACTCAGACTACACCTTTGTACACACCCCTAACATGTCCATCTCTCCTGATGTAACTCAGACTACACCTTTGTACACACCCCTAACAAGTCCATCTCTCCTGATGTTACTCAGACTATTCCTTTGTACACACCCCTAACATGTCCATCTCTCCTGATGTAACTCAGACTATTCCTTTGTACACACCCCTAACATGTCCATCTCTCCTGATGTTACTCAGACTACGTCTTTGTACACACCCCTAACATGTCCATCTCTCCTGATGTTACTCAGACTACGTCTTTGTACACACCCCTAACATGTCCATCTCTCCTGATGTTACTCAGACTACGTCTTTGTACACACCCCTAACATGTCCATCTCTCCTGATGTTACTCAGACTACGTCTTTGTACACACCCCTAACATGTCCATCTCTCCTGATGTTACTCAGACTACGTCTTTGTACACACCCCTAACATGTCCATCTCTCCTGATGTAACTCAGACTACACCTTTGTACACACCCCTAACATGTCAATCTCTCCCGATGTTACTCAGACTACGTCTTTGAACACACCCCTAACATGTCCATCTCTCCTGATGTTACTCAGACTACACCTTTGTACACACCCCTAACATGTCCATCTCTCCCGATGTTACTCAGACTACACCTTTGTACACACCCCTAACAAGTCCATCTCTCCTGATGTTACTCTGACATTTCCTTTGCTGTTTTGTGTTCAAGAAAATCACACAGAGGTGTAATGTTGCAGAATTTAAATTGATGATTTTAAAAGTAAACTGATGTCACAAACATGTTTATTCATCACAATTTGCTCTTATCAATTGATATCAGCTTTTAACATTTAGTACACACTTTTTCAAATTCTTTAAAATATGAATATGATTATTTAAAAATGATTGAAAATTATGTTAAGATTTACAATGACCGATAGAGATGATTTCTGACTAAAGGTGTCCAGTGGAGCAGTAGATCTAGCTAAATACAACTTGGAAAACATGCTCATCAAATGTGCACAGGAGATTAAATCGGAGGATGCTAATGAGGAACTTCTAGCTGTGCAGAAAAAATCATTCAACGATGTCACACACGAACTGGTGCGGCAGATCACTTCCCCTAATACCACAGTCAGGGAACAGGTAACGTTTAAACATTAGCTTCAGTGATTGTTTGCTCTTGTCAAATTCTCGTATCAACCTCTTGTCAAATTCTCGTATCAATCTCTTGTCAGACCTCTTGTCAAATTCTTTTATCAACCTCTTGTCAAATTCTCGTATCAACCTCTTGTCAAACCTCTTGTCAAATTCTTGTATCAACCTCTTGTCAAATTCTCGTATCAACCTCTTCTTCGGTCATTAATTGTAAGGTATCAGACCGTAGGAGTAAGATTATTTGGAAAGTTATGGTATTGAATTGTGATTTCTGATGAAAATAGCTCACCACTGAACTTCAGATGGTGAGTAGGATGCCAACAATATGTAAAATTGCATGTAAAACATGACAGTATGCATTGAATAAATATGCATTGCACTTTGATGTAGAATCAAAGTATGTTTATGTCCCATTTATTCAGAAATAAGCCCATATCACATTATAAGACCACCCATTGAAATTTTAATCACAAACCATTGCTATTTCATAGTATCAGGTGTGAAGCCCACTCATTTAAATCAAAATTTCAAACCATTACTTTTTCATATTATCCTGTGATAAGCCCATCCATGGACTACTTTGGCTTGTTCCAAGATAAACAGCGTAACATATTCTGATGTTTATATCATGTAAAATGGTTTTCAGGCAATGCATTCTCTGGAGGTCCTGGCTAAGACCAGCAGTAAGACAGTGACAGAGATAATGGAGCCCCAGAAACAGGTGTTACAGGACATGATTCCACCTAAAAAACACCTATTACGTCATCAGCCTGCCAACGCTCAGATAGGTCTAATGGTAGGTAATATCACCCGCCCACCAACGCTCAGATAGGTCTAATGGTAGGTAATATCACCCGCCCGCTCAGATAGGTCTAATGGTAGGTAATATCACCCGCCCACCATCGCTCAGATAGGTCTCATGGTTGATTACATCACCAGCCCGCTAACACTCAGGTCTTGTGGCAGGTAATGTCACCTGCCCATCATCGCTCATAGAAGATAATGCCACTAGTCCAGCATATCGTAGATAAGTCTTGCATGTTGTTTGAACCTGAGCTCATTTGTTATAGCATTATAAGACTAGAGATTAACACTAGAGATTTATGTAATGTGGCTGCAGTAGCTCAAACTGGAGAGCATCAGAATGTGGATGTTGACGCTTAAGTTATGGCTCAAGGGCAGTTACACTTTATATTAAACAATTATCATCTTCTGACTGTAATATTATATCATATAAATCATCTATTTAGGATGGCAACCTTTAACATAAAACTCTTCTCACCTAGGATGGTAACACCTTCTGCACCACTCTGGAGCCACGTCTCTTCACCATTGACCTTAGTGTCATAGAACACAATGTTTTCTTTAATGAACTACTGAGTCTCTGTGAGGCGGAGGATGGAGCCCTACAGAAACTTCCTTGTTACAAGTCTGTCAATGATCTAGTCCCTCTCCGCAAGAGTGCCCTGCGTGAGTAGAAATTTACATTAATTTCTATAAAACTATCCTGGTGTCTATTAACAAGTCTTGCTGTAAATGTCTTGGTGGATGTCAAGGTCCCTATTTCCTTTGATCAATGTCTCAACATCATGATCATGGTGGAGTAGAATCTTGTGTGTCGGTGTGGCCTGTGTCCCCATTTACATGTGTACTATTGTAGTTGTTGATGGGAGGTTGATCTTCTTTCTACTACAGGTGCCCTAGCAGCCTGCCATTATATTCCAAACCAGAGGGAGAAATTGTTCTCCGTGTTGGATAAGGCTCTCAACAGTAATAGTGCTGAATTACAGAGGGTTGCCTTTGACTGCATGAAGAAGGTAAGACAGTACAATTTAAACCTTGCCTTTAGAGACCATCCAAAGGATAATAATTACATGTTGTGAGAGACCATCCAAAGGATAATAATTACATGTTGTGAGAGACCATCAAAAAGTGAATAAAATTTGTTTTTAGAGACAGAGAGATTTTATTGAATAAAACCCGTAGACAAGTCAAAGAAAACAAATTTCTAGTCCCGTGGTGATCTTCATTTATGTGAAACAAAAGAGGACTTCTCAAACAGATAGTCCTGCATAAAATTGAAAAAGAAATAAGATTGGAAAAGAATGTAAAGCCTTTTTGAAACTTTAATTTATATTACTCACAAACATAAAATGTTTAGATGAATAAAGTTGGGAATTGAAAGAGGTTCTACCAGTGTGCTAGTGTTCAGGTGCTAGTAAAGTTATCAACTGCTACCTAAATTTTCAAAATATTCTCTGTAATGTTTATGAAGTAGGGGAGATAACCAGAAGGAATTCCAATCTACTGTATTTTTTGGTTTATAAGATGCACAGGTATATAAGCTGCAGAGCCAGTTTTAGCAATTTTTGCGGTTTGATCCATATATAAGCCGCACCCTTGCTTACAAAGTGGTAAGTTATGTTGACCAAATTTTGGTGATTTAACAGACAACGAAGGGCAATTTATCAGCATCGTCAGTGAAACATTTAATAAAGTTTGCAAATAAATTTACAGATAAACCTTTATTTTATTGATGTAATTAGAATAACATAAAATAACAAATGACAAACTTGTTTGGTTTTAGTACCTTCACAGAATGTCTACACATAGATGTAGGGCCTGATGTTACGTATGATTTACTAAACAATATCTCAATTGGTGTCTGTGATGTTAAATATCAACGAAGACCCTTGCTTGCTGTTCTTACATTCCCATATTATTTCTTCTTGTAAGTTACATGAAGCCATTCTAATGGTAAACAAACATGGCGGTAGTTTAAGTATTTGACCTTTAATCCGATGACCTATTGATCCCTGGATGCAAAAGGATATTGTAAACATCAGCTATGGCTTTAAAGTAACCACAATAGTCCACAAGTTATTATTGTGACTCATATTAAAAGGTATGATTAATCAAATCCACAAGAATGTTATTTTTATTTCAATCTTCAAATCATCCTGTATATGATAGCAAATGACGGTTCTAGATGATCTGTTTCAGTCACAAACCTGTAACTGGCAGGTACCTGGTTTGGTTTTTTTTTTCTTTTATCCTGCCAGTATTTTTTCTTGTACACTTTTAAGCCCGACTCATGAGGAAAAAAGGTGCAACTTGTAATCCATGAAACACAGAAATCATATTCTTCTTGTTTATCTAAGTTTTATCCAACTTAAATGGTTACAGTTTATCTCTGGATGTCAGATAGAGATTGAGATTGTTTATAAGAAGATGCGACCATTGTTGTCAACACTGAGTGACCCCAGCAGTCTGAACAGTAATGTGATCCAGCGTCTCTCATACATCACACAACTCTTTCCAAATATCTTTAATGAGAAATTCTGTGAACAGTTACTGGTAAGTATTTGTAATCATTAAAAACATGTTTTAATGACTGTTTAATGGAAAACATTTGTCTGGGCCAAAGATTGATATGAAAGCTGAGTTATGTGATTCTATAACCTACGGTTGTATATAACATTTGGAAAAAAAATACATAGTTTCATGCAAGGATAAGAGAAACCAAGGGCAAAAGTTTCCCAGAGTAGTTTTTGTTTTCTATTGTAATTTTGAGACATTCTGTAAATGATGCATGTTTAGTCATTTTTAGTGTTTTTTTTTTTTTTTTTTTATACAAATTGGAAACTTGGCCTCAATGTTGCTATTTTTTGTCAGAAACACTTGAAGAAGTGGTTAGATGTTGCTGCAACAAGTCAGAAACCATCTCAAAATAAATCCAATGGTCAAGTGATCCCTCAGGTAAGGCATGATTTATTGGTAGGCTGTATACTGTAAGCATATATGTCCTAGCGGAAATCATATTTTAATACATTTTGTGTTATAGATATTGTGTTAAGATTTGATTATACTAATTGCAGTTTTTGTATGTCACTAATATAGCAATTACTATGAATGCAGGAATTCATCATAATTTGTGCTTATTAGTTTAAAATTAATATTGTGCTAAAATCATTGTTGGAAAATAAGTATATATATACAATATGTGTGTGTGGATAAAAAATAATATTCTCTCTTAAAACCAATGGTGCACAGTTTTGTTTTTACAATACTGACATACAATAAAAGTTGTAGATTTCATGTTTGTGGTTTTCCTCTGTTACCAGGAGTTGAAGACATGTGCGTCCATCATTGATATCTTCCACATGATTCCTGCCGCCAGCAGTAAACTGATTGAACCCCTTATACAGATCACTCTACTAGGGGAGAAAACTCTGTTTCTGGAGGTAGGAAAAATATTTATTTCTTAACTTAATTTTCATCCTGTAAAAGCTCAAAAATACTTTGTCCTTTGGTTTTTGGAATTTGAAAGTCTTCAGATGTTATGTTTCATAACATTTTTGAAAATATTATAAATTGAGGAAAGAAGTCAACCCATAAATGTACTGGTGTTTTACTAGGCAATAAGCCCATACCTGGTAGTAAGCCTGTCCTTATCAATTGTTGTTCAGTAGTGTAACAAACAACGCTATTTCATTGTCTTGTAATAAGCCCACCCAATGGCATTGAATCAGAATTGGTATGTTGGCCCCAGGGCTTATTCCAGATTAAGTACGGTAATATATACTGACACGCAAAAGAAACGCAGCCTTTATGAAATGTTAACATTTTTAAAATATGAATAAACTGTTGCTAACCTTTTTGACTAAAATGATACCACGCACATTTCTGATCGATTCATGGTTGACTGAACTCGGTCACACTACCTGTTGTCGTACCTGCGAGACACGACCATTTACCCCGATTTGCACGTGCACGCATACACGTGGCAGCACTTCGTGAGTATCAGACCTGTTTGTTATCCTTCAGGTATTTGGTAAGAATTATCCACTATCGATTAACATTTTTGTTGCGCAAACAAGATACCTCGGCTAACCAATGATGAACGTAACAGAGCAGTGCAGTTAATTTTGGGTGGAAACACCCAAAATGCTGTGGCAAGGGTACTGAATGTCCATAAAAGCACTATTGGTGGACTATACCCCCGACTTAGAACTACTGGTACAACTGCTGGCCTCCCTAGAACTGGCCAACCGAAGGTTACAACACCACACTAGGACCGTTTCTTGAGGTTGCAGCATCTGCGCAACCGCTTCCGAACTGCACAGAAAACCGCAAACGAGACACCAGGGACACATCATCCGAGAATAAGCCGTGATACAGTGCTGAGGCGTTTGCGATCATACGGTATAAAACCTCAACGCGTTGCAGTGGCAATGCAACTTAACCGTCAACAATGTGACGTCAGACTTCAGTGGTTGCAACAACACCGTCCAAATGTGTTTCCTATGCAAAGATGGCGCCGTGTACAGATTTACGTTTTATCGCTCTGATGGACGTTGACGTGTTTTCAGACGTCGTGGTGAACAATACACCGACAGCTGCATGTTGGAACGTGACAGATTTGGTGGTGGTAGCTTAATGGTATGGGGCGGTATTTTCGGTGGTCGCAAAACCCCTTTAGTAGTCATTGAAAGTAATTTGACCGCTCAGCGGTACATAAACACTGAGTCGCTGTCCCTTTTGTTCGCCAGCATAACTTAATTTGTCAACAAGACAATGCCAGATGTCACGTAGCGCAACTTGCCATGGATTTTCTATGCCAAAACAATGTGCAAACACTACCTTGGCCCCCTTACAGTCCCGATCTGTCACCAATAGAGCATTTCTGGGACTTGCTAGATCGACACTTTCAAACGCGCCCAAATACACCAGAGACTATACCCGCTTTGCGTCAAGCACTTCTCGAAGAGTGGCAGAACATCCCTGTGGCACAAATAAACCGCTTAGTTAATTCTATGCATCGCAGGATTCAAGCTGGAACAAATGCAAACGGCTGGACGTTTTTTACAGAATGGATGAGGGCAAAATGAGAAATTGACAGTGTTATTCCAAAGAATACATTTAAATCTTGTATCAGGTGTTTAAATGACAAATCTCAATGAAATAAGAAAATTCTGGCATAAAATCACGCTGCGTTTCTTTTGCGTGTCAGTATATAAAAAAAAAAACAACAGTAATGCTTTATTGATGCCAGTATATTAAAGTTTTATTTGTCAGTTTTGATACTTTTACTAAGCACTCTCTCTGATTTAACCATTATGTATACATTGACTTGTTTATTAGGCAAACAAGTTGGTACTTCTGTCTATACCATACTAAACATTCTATATGGCAGTTTAAAGGTCTAATTGAAATGGTATTTGATAATACAGTGAAAGATTGGATTGACTTTCTTGTTTTGATTGAAGTATCTGTTGTAAACATGGCATTACAGATGTTAAGATGTAATTCATTGTTTTGTTTGTAGGCTGGCAGTCCGTTCCGTGACCCATTAATTAATTTCCTGATGCGGTACCCTGATATCACGGTTGATTTGTTTCTTAATGAGACACGCCTGGGCGATCAACAATGGACAAGACTCTTCCACGTAAGCCTTTCTGATGTATGAAAAACATGACACTATTTACCTATATCAGGAATATTCTAAGACAGAGAAGGTTGGGTTTAGTTTGTATATAGTTAAAACAAGGAAAGGGCAGAGCTGTGGATTATTATGCTAGAGACTGGGTATATAGTTAAAACAGGGAGAGGGCGTGGCTAACGCATGTGCTATAGATTATGCTAGAGACTGGGTATATAGTTTAAACAGGGAGAGGGTTGGCGTGGCTAACACATGTGCTATAGATTATGCTAGAGACTGGGTATATAGTTTAAACAGGGAGAGGGCGTGGCTAACACATGTGCTATAGATTATGCTAGAGACTGGGTATATAGTTTAAACAGGGAGAGGGTTGGCGTGGCTAACACATGTGCTATAGATTATGCTAGAGACTGGGTATATAGTTTAAACAGGGAGAGGGTTGGCGTGGCTAACACATGTGCTATAGATTATGCTAGAGACTGGGTATATAGTTAAAACAGGGAGAGGGTTGGCGTGGCTAACACATGTGCTATAGATTATGCTAGAGACTGGGTATATAGTTTAAACAGGGAGAGGGTTGGCGTGGCTAACACATGTGCTATAGATTATGCTAGAGACTGATATATAGTTAAAACAGGGAGAGGGTTGGCGTGGCTAACACATGTGCTATAGATTATGCTAGAGACTGGGTATATAGTTTAAACAGGGAGAGGGGGCGTGGCTAACACATGTGCTATAGATTATGCTAGAGACTGGGTATATAGTTAAAACAGGGAGAGGGCGTGGCTAACACATGTGCTATAGATTATGCTAGAGACTGGGTATATAGTTAAAACAGGGAGAGGGCGTGGCTAACACATGTGCTATAGATTATGCTAGAGACTGGGTATATAGTTTAAACAGGGAGAGGGTTGGCGTGGCTAACACATGTGCTATAGATTATGCTAGAGACTGGGTATATAGTTGAAACAGGGAGAGGGTTGGCGTGGCTAACACATGTGCTATAGATTATGCTAGAGGGGTTTGTTTCTTGTAGGATGACTGACAAGAATTGTCTTTCATGTTTGTTGCATTGTGTGATGACTGACTGTTTCTATTTGGAATAGACAGCTCTATTTTTAAGTGGCATACACCTTATTTATCTTCCATATTTACATTGACTTAAAAACTAAAATATTGAATGTTTTCTTTTTTCATCTTGTAGTTCGTGATCTCCCACAAGAACGGCAAACAGTTTCGAGAAGTTCTCAAAAATAATGCCTCTCGTCTGATGAATATTTTTGCCATTGCCCAGGTGAAAACAAATTTCAGGATTGATTTGCTGTTGGATAACAATGCTGTGATGAGCATTGAATAAATTCAATATTAGATTATTTTTCAACTAAATTACAGGCATATTTAACAAAAATAACTTTATGTAATCATAGATATTTTGTTATTTTGTCTAGATATTTACTTCATTCATGATAAAAAAAAATCATGTTTGATATTTGTATTTTAGGGGACGACACCCACCACTACTGATGTGTCTGTGTCGTCACCTGCTCCCTCCCCTACCCCAGGGCCGAATGTTGAGCTGCAGTTCCAGGTCATCAAGCTCATCAGCCTTCTTGTGAGACATGAGGAGGCGTGGCTCTCGCAACATCCTGCCATTGTAAGTTTCTCTACCCTGCAGATTCAACTATCTATAGAATGAATTGGAAATTGATACTGCATTGTTTTCAAGGAGAATGATGAAATAAAAAGAAACTGATTTCCTTTATTTAATTCAGCAAGTAAAAAAATGAACAAATAAAAATTGTGAAAATCGCAGGTTTATAATTAATATGAACATAAGATATAGATCTTGAGATAATCATTGAGACACAAGTTGACTTCCTTAATACTGGAGGTAATTAGTCAATAATTTTGTATGGTGATCAGGTGACAAGTCTACTACAGCTGTGGAAGTCGGAGGCTTTTCAGGACAGGCATAACAAACTGGAGGCTGTAGAGATGGTACATTGGAAGGAACCTGCCCTACTCGTCAAGTGTCTTCTCAACTTCTTCAAGTAAGAAACCTCCGGTGTTCTAAATCTTCATTAAGACACATGTTTCAACTGCACTCCTAGTCAAGTGTCTTCAGATATATCAAATGAAATAGGTATCTCACTAAACTACTAAGGTGAAGGTCATTTCTTCTTTCCTTATCAAGTTTCTCATCAACTAAGTTTGATATCAAACCGTCCTTGTAAACAAGATATTGCATCTGTCCCCTTTACACAGCATCACTTTCACTTTTAAAATGCATTGTCACAGGTACCACACCAATGAGAATGAGCTATTGTTCCACATCCTGCGATGTTTTACAAACAGATGTGTCGTCCAATTCCAGTTTGTCAAGGATTTCCTGGATAATACTGTAGCTGCAGTAAGTGTGTGGTACTCATCAAGGTATCAAAGAATCATCACAGGTTTTTTAAATATCACTTTTTGATGTCCTTTTCATCAAATGGCCAAAGCAGTTGTCTTAATTTGTATGCTTCATTATCAGTCAGTAGTATTGTTTTTGTATGCTGGTGTTTTGCTTGGATATGTGTTTACTTCAGTCTCATTTTTATGGAGCTAATCTCAAAATCAGTCTAGATGATCCTTTTAAACTTGAAAGTTTTTGGTAATAACACCAATTATTGATATCATCTTAGTTTTTGAAAATTTTTGAACTGGAAGGTCCACATTTTGTGCTTCAGAGTGTCTATTACATGTGTTTACAGACTTACTCCATCGAGTGGAAGAGGAGTGCCTTCTTTAAGTTTGTTGATATTTTCCATGACTCCAAATGGACGCAAGAAATCAAGGCAAAGGTATTGACTTTTTCTGAAATGATTAACTTTCGTGAGGATTTATTTTCTTCCCATTTGTCAGTTTAAACTCAAGTGGGTATTACAGGATCTTGACAGGTACTTCACACCTGCAAAACCAAGTGCTCACAAAGCAGTATTTTCTTAGGACTTGTGTAAATAGCTAATTTTATAGTGGTAAAATTAAAGTCCACAAGATAGTGTTAGCTTATGCATGCTGCAAAATCAAGAAAGTTTTGCGATAATCTTGTCCAGTCTATATAAGATATTGACAATGCTTGTCTGCTATATAAAAATATATGTTTGTCATGTCAGCTACTTTATACACTGAGGGTAAGATACTTTCTATCTCTCATACAGATCCTGCAGCACATCCTCATCCCATGTTTCCACCAGGTTTTTGAGAGTGGGGATGGTGAGAAACTTATAGGTGGACCGCCTGCTCCAGACCAAGACAACATGGAAAACATCATCAGTGTTTTCATCAACAAGATCATTGACCCAGACAACCCGTTCGGGACGTCTGATGCTGTACGGATTCTTTTACTACAACTGTCGTCTCTGCTGGTGGAACAAGCATCGTCTCACATACATGATGCTGCTAATAAGTAGGTTGTCCAACAAGATCTGATTTATAATATAAAAATGCCAGCTTGAATGAAGTTATGCCATCAATATTTTCACATGTTCAGTTATCAATCTACACTTTGTATTTACAAATCCTTTTCAACTTTATTGTTAAAAATAATGGGTCCCACAATGTAAAATTTCAGTTTTTTCCAGAAATTCTATGAGTCCCATAAAAATTCTATGGCCTCGGTACTTTCTCACACTACGTAAATTTTGTTCCATAGTGTTGATTACTGGATCTTTTTTGTTTATCGGTTTGACCAGTTGAACGAGGGTTGTCCATTTATTTGATAAATCAGACCTTCTGATATTTCTCACTTTCCGACAAGCATCGACTTATCCTTTTGAGGAATGAATTAATATTTGAAGATCCCTTCCAGTTTATGTCTGATGTGACATTTAAAGTGCTGATGAAGCAGTTTGTCTGCATAAACAAACAGTCTTCAGTTCCAAATTGTTCCATTCTCTTTTTATTTCATTTTCAATGTGTCTTATTTTCATCATTTGATCGTATCCTTGAAATCGAAGAAAAGTTAATGAATGCTCTGGAAGGAGGGAAGGAGGGAGTGGGGGGATTGCCTTTACTTTATACATCATTCTTTTTTGAAATGTAATGGAATGTAAAATATCAGTCACTACGAGTTCCATATTTGGACAGGCATTTCATTTGGTAGGTTAAGTAATGATACACATAACTGGAAGATGAAATGTGATAAGTAAAAAACAAAACCATTTTTTGAGAGTATTAGATATAAAAATGAAATCAAATATATTTACTTAGCATGAAGCCCATGCAATAATGTTATCTGTTATCTGGTGTTTCCTTTTCTTATAACAAGCCCAACCCATAATTTTGAGTAAAAAGTAATTTGCTCAGTCTCTGAGCCTATTGCTGGATAGATACTAACAGTAAAATAAAGCTTAGAAAAATCTTAATATCATTTGTTGTGTCTGTTTAAGTGATTTGTGATGTCATATTATTGGAGGAAACTTAAGGTCACCCAGAAGTTCTTAGCACAAGTGTGTGCATAAAGATATCATATCTGTGGATGATACTACTCTGTACCAGTACTAATTATTATTTCCTTGTGTTGCAGGAAGCAAGGGAACAAACTACGTCGACTGATGACATTCGCATGGCCTTGTCTGCTGTCCAAGAACTGTGTTGACCCAGCGACGAAATACCACGGCCATCTATTATTGTCACACATCATTGCTAAGTTTGCCATCCACAAGCGAATCGTTTTGCAGGTTTTCCACAGCCTGCTAAAGGCGCATGCTGTCGAGGCACGTACTGTTGTCAGACAGGCCCTAGAGATACTCACACCTGCCATGCCTGGACGTATGGAGGATGGAAATGTACGTACTTCTTAGAAGAAAAACATCTTTTTTTTTCTTTGCATAGCTGCTACAACCACGAAAACATTGATGCATTAGCAAGCTTACAATGCAAAATTATTCTTAACGGTTTTCTTAATCAAAGATTTTAAAGGTTGTAGGTCACTAGAAATTATGTGTGTTCGACATTTTTATTTTGTATTTGACAGGGGATGTTGACTCACTGGACAAAGAAGATTATTGTAGAAGAGGGTCACACTGTGGCACAACTTGTTCATATACTGTATGTATATAAACTGTAAAATTTAACTTATAATATTTAATATCATGAAATAAATTATATTAACTTCATGATGTCACTGTGGATGACTTACGTCTGAGGTGCAGGAGTCTTTACATGGGAGGAAACTGGAGTACTTTTAGAAAAACAGGTTATTGATGACTTCATCCTTTTAGCATCTGATCAGGGAATCATACCCTAGCCTTCTTGATGAAAGTACTTTTATCAGGTGATTTTCTGTTACAGGTAGATTCTTACTTAGTCTGTTTTACAGGCCTAGTTTGTGCTAGGGAATATCAACTCAGTGCAAGTATTACTGTGGGAATGATTTTAACAATTACTGTACTTTACAGGCCTAGTTTGTACTAGAGAATATCTACTCAGTGCAAGTATTACTGTGGGAATGATTTTAACAATTACTGTACTTTACAGGCCTAGTTTGTACTAGAGAATATCTACTCAGTGCAAGTATTACTGTGGGAATGATTTTAACAATTACTGTACTTTACAGGCCTAGTTTGTACTAGAGAATATCTACTCAGTGCAAGTATTACTGTGGGAATGATTTTAACAATTACTGTACTTTACAGGCCTAGTTTGTACTAGAGAATATCTACTCAGTGCAAGTATTACTCTGGGAATGATTTTAACAATTACTGTACTTTACAGGCCTAGTTTGTACTAGGGAATATCTACTCAGTGCAAGTATTACTGTGGGAATGATTTTAACAATTACTGTATAATGATATATTTTTGTGGGACTCTACTTTCATTTTCACGGATACGTATAGCTCAATGATACTTTCATTTTCACGGATACATATAGCTCAATGAAATATGTTTTTATACTCCCCCCCCCCTCCTCACCCTCGATGTTGATGTTTCATAGAATCACAAGGAAATGTTTTTATACCCTCTCCTCCTCACCCTCGATGTTGATGTTTGATAGAATCACAAGGAAATGTTTTTATACCCTCTCCTCCCCACCCTCGATGTTGATGTTTGATAGAATCACAAGGAAATATGTTTTTATACCCCGCTTCTCACCCTCGATGTTGATGTTTGATAGAATCACAAGGAAATGTTTTTATACCCCCTCCTCCCCACCCTCGATGTTGATGTTTGATAGAATCACAAGGAAATGTTTTTATACCCCCCTCCTCACCCTCGATGTTGATGTTTGATAGAATCACAAGGAAATGTTTTTATACCCCCTCCTCTTTACCCTTTTGATGAAGGTACAGATGTTAGATATTGATGATGCAGATCTGTCCTCTTTACAGACAACTGGTGGTGCGTCATTTTAAGGTGTATTATCCTGTCCGTCATCATCTGATCCCACACATGGTCAACTCTCTACACAAACTTGGCTTCACCTCTAGTGTGAGTATGCTGATATTCTCAATGTATATATTACTGTAGAACTACCATGGTAACATTTCGGCTTCAACTTCAGTGTGAGAATGATATTCCTCTGAAATGTGACTATAGAACTGCTATTGCATTGTTCCGGCTTCACCCCTTGACCTCTTACTTGTTAACATCTGACCATACATCATTGATTGACCTGCTTTTGTTTACTTGTGACCCAAGGCGTCTATTGAGCACCGTAAGCTGGCAGTTGATCTCGCTGAGGTAGTTATAAAGTGGGAAATGCAGCGAATCAAAGACGACCAGGACCCATCATTTGTAGAGCCAGCCGGTCCAGAACTGAGTCAGGCCCTGACACAGAACCTACCAGTAAAGCGGTCAACATCTGTAGATTCACCTCAGGAAGCGAAGAGATCTCGTCACTCATCAGGAGCTGTGAGTTACCTTACTAAAGTCTGAAAATATTACTGTATGTATCTATCAGTAAGCCCAGGAAACTACCTCTCAACACCTTACTCCAACCTCGAGGGTAGTATTTGATACAAAGCATTGGTTGTTTTACTGAACTGCAATATATATGGGTGGGCTTATTAGCAAACATGGGGCCTTATTGCTTGATAAACCAGTGTGAGATAAGTTTTAATTAGTAACCACTAAGGTAAATTATATACATTTATATCTAGATGAATGTGACACATTTAAGAGTAACACACATAATGATCAAGTGAAATGTAGTGGTGTCAGATTCCTATTATTGAAAAGCTGATCATAATAACTATACTATCAAATCAGTAGTTTTCTTGGTTTTATTTTTGTCAGTTTTGTGTGTACATTTGTTCAAAGCTTTAATACATGTCCATGAAGTAGTGACAACAGTTAAGAATATTTAATATCTCTGTGGATTTGGTGAGTAAATTTTGTCCATGAAATTAATTGTCAAATAAAATTTGTAGTTCTGGAAAACCAGGAAATACAATCTCCATGAAAAAATTTGTTTCAGTCGACTTATTTCACTTGTATGGGAAAGGTTCTAGTTCTGACAATATTTGACATATGTTTGGTTTCACAGAGCACAAGAAGTCAATCTGACCTCACAAAGCCTATAGAAAAGAATTATTGTGATGCTGTGGTGAATTTCTTACTGCGAATAGCATGTCAGGTAAAGTTTTAACTGTTGTTGGTCTTTTAACAGGAAGATGATTTCTCATGCTGTTTGGGTCAAATTACCTATTTTTATAAAATGTTTTTCTTTTTTATACTCATTTACTTTAGATAAAAACCACACATTTCATATTTTTTGCTCTTATGTTTTATTTGGAGTTATCCTTTAGGGAATTAATGAACTCTTCAGAATAACGAAGTGTCATGTCAGTTGTGTATTTGACCTCAAACTTTGACAGTTGAGACAGTTTATCTTGTGTTTATAGTTTTCTTTATCCAGTATTTATTTGTTTTTTTGTTTGTCCTTTAAGGTTAATGAGACACCTGGATCTCCAGGTGAAATTTTATCCCGAAGATGCGTGGGTCTACTGAAGACGGCACTGCGCCCAGATATCTGGCCAAGCACGGAGCTGAAGCTTGTGTGGTTTGACAAGTTACTGACGACTGTAGAAAACCCTCTACCTAACTTTAACAATATTTGCACTGCCTTGGAGCTCCTCAGCTTTCTTCTTACAATACTGGTAGGTTATGACTAAGCAGAAGGAACTTGTAGCGTAGATGTTTAGTATCTTGTCTGCTATTGTCTGATATTTTGATTTCTTCTTGTAACTTGCCTTCCTTGAATATGATTTCACCAGATCAGGAACATTACATCCGATAAAGTTTGGTTTCATTAGCTGTGTTCTTTTAATATTATATATCTTCCAGTCAGCTATTTATCTAACAGGATTTTCAATATTACAGCCTTTCAGTGGATGAAGAAAGCAAGCTAAGAGATTCAATTTAAATACTGCAAAAGTTTTTCCTTTAATTATGATTATTATCAATAAGTTGATATCAGAAGGTGATGAAAACAAATTTTGTGAATTTTTGAAGTCTGAAATTTCTTTTTGACATAGTTCTTATGAATTTAGAAAATCTGTTAGGGCAATTGGCAATTTAGCAACTATTATTACTGTGTAACACAACAATTTTTGTGGGTACTTTTGAATTATGTATGACTTAAACCTTACTGTTCTTTTCAGTGATGTAGACTTTTGTTAACTGAGATGGGAAAAATTGTTTGAATCAATCAGTACTGATGTTGTTTGTTTATCTTATCACTTTTTCATCATGTTTATTCTTTTGATGTGTAAGTATTTTCTGTATACTTCCATTTTCCAGATAACTTTAGAAGTGACAAACAATTCTAAACAATGAAGGTTGATATTTTACTGTAGACTATTTAAGGTGTTTGTTGGATTTACAGAAGAAGGAGACAATACTAACAAGCTTTAAGCCACTCCAGCGCGGAATTGCTGCCTGTATGACCTGTCCTAACACTAAAGTTATACGCGGTGTACACAGTCTTCTGTCCCGACTAATGAGTTTCTTCCCTACGGAGCCTGTCACCTCAAATGTAGCCTCCAAGTATGAAGAGCTCGAATGTTTGTACGCTTGTGTCAGCAAAGTTGTGTATGAGGGACTCACTAATTATGAAAAGTAAGTCATATTTCTGTGAAGTATGGAAATAGTAAAAAGACCATTACATTGTTAGCAAAATTGTGATCCTATAAAAAATTGTAAATTAAGTAAAAAGAAAAGATTTACACAAAGTCTCTTCAAAAGTAATAAGCTCAAGAAATATAACACCAGATGTTTTTAGGGCAGTAGTAAACTACTTCCACTCATCAACAACCATTGAGAAATCAGTGTCAAACCAAGGTTATATCATGTTTCCTTAACCAGGAACTGGGGAATTAATCAGGTATCCATCAGGCATACAAACATGTTTTTAACTTTATGTGAAAGTAGGTCACATCTGAATTTGAATTTTCTGTACTGTAGATGGAGCATAGCTGATAATTTTGATTTATGGATCTGAAGTCACACTCAGTAATTTTACTTGTATTGAGTTATAGAAAACTGATTGCACTTTGTAGTGTACGGCGTTTCTTTGTTACTTCAGGGCATCCACTGGCTCGCCATCCCAGCTGTTCAGCACACTGATGATATTGAAAGCTGCCTGTATGCACAATCACTGTTACATAGACCGACTCATCACAACCTTCATGAAGGTTCTACACAAAATGGCACGGGAACACCTTGTCCCCACCTCTCCCGAATCTAGTCCAGGTAAGTCTGAATGCTGCAGATTCTTGCCTGAAAAAATCCTATTATAATTACTGCCCATGGCCTATAGAGGCCTATTGCTGTACAGTGAAGTTTCTAACAAGTATGCTATTTCATTGTCCTGCCAGAAGTCGACACCCTAAAGTTGAAGCAGAATTTTTGTTTGGGTTCCCATGTACTTACAGGGGTCAAGTGTGTTAAAAAACATGAAACAACTTCTCAGATGACCCTGTACATGTATTGATCTAGTGGTCCAGTGATGCAGGAGGTATCATTTCTGATATTTCCAATGTTATCATGGAAAATGGAAAATGGCCAAAATGATCAAAATAACCTTTTCCTGACCATAATTTGAAACAGTTACCATAGAAACAACAATCAATTGCCTGTCACTAGCTACCAAGGTTTCCATTTCTGATATTTCTTCATTACCATGGAAACAAACCATGAAATTAAACCTCCCTTGGCAGTTCACTCTCGAAAGAGGTTGCGAATGACTGTACTTGTTTCCAACTACATTTCAAATTTCATCCTATACAGGTGATTTCCTCCATCTACCCCACTCTCCAACTTACAATAAACAGATGTATATATTTGTTTATAGTGAAGATTGGCCTTGTACTCCATCCAGTCTTCCTTCTGAAAACTTCAAATAATTCCTGGGCCATAACATTGCAATTGAAAGCTTTATACTGTACTATCTAGTGAAGTCAGTGTACACATTTACCATCCACCCAGAGTCCCCATCTTACGCTGATAGTGTCAATTTACTAAATCATTACAGTGTTGCTTGTTTCAATGAATAAACTTGTTCACCCTCATTCAAAGTCACCTTGGTCAAATGGGATGAAACATGTTTAACAACTTATTCTGAATAACCAGAGAACCTTAGATATTGAAATTTCACCAATAACATGCTGATATGATGACTTCCAAGTTTGTTCAACTGCACAATCTTGTTAAACTTTGAACATCACAAGGTAAACTGTTTTAAGTTCTAACCAGGTTGGTGAAACTTGTTCAGTCACCTTACACAAATAAATGTCATTTAACATTAATTGAGTGATGCAGGCCCATTTGACCTCTTGTTGAATCTGTTAAGACATTTCTGCTGATGGTGGAATAGCCAGGGAGCTGTGGTGGTGATTTATAGCTAATGTCCATTGTTTATTTTGTTTACAGTTGCCAGTGAGCTAATGATACTGAGCCTGGACCTGGTGAAGAACAGAGTTGGGGTGATGAGTCTGGAGATGAGGAAAAGCTTCATTGGGCAAATCCTTGTTGGTCTCATTGAGAAAACTACCGACTCGAAAGTGATGAAGGCCATTACAAAGATGGTGGAGGATTGGGTTAAAACCAAGGTAATAAAACAATGTGAAAGTTAAATGAATTTACTGGACTCAACATTTTCATCCTGAGAAGTGCTTGGTTTATTCAGAACTTTTACATTCTACAAAAAGCACCTGTAAGCAATATTAAAACATTAAAGAGTTACCAAGTGGGGTGTATAGTTGATATGAAGCCAATCTGGATGGATGATAAATAGAATGGCACCCAGTCTGACAAAGTAGGATATGTGTCCACTGTATATTGATATTGTACCAAAGTGACTGGTGACTTGGGACAGAGATGTCTCTGGGTGGGAGATATCTAGATTTATTCCAACACCAACCAAATCACTGTAAATTATAGTATACTGTCTTATATTAGGCAAATGTAGCACAGAATGTAAATATTACATTTATGCCTACCAGGGTTATTTTTTGGTCGATGTCTCACCTTGACCACCGAGTGTGTATTCAAACACTAGACCAGAGGGGCATTCATATCCTGCTATACTACATCTGGTGTACATAGAACTGAACGTGAAACTGGCAGTAGAATTGATATGAATTGTTATGTTAAATTGACCAGTAATACACTGCTTCCTATCTTCCTTCAGACACCTATAGCAATCAATCAGTCACCTAGTATCCGCGAGAAAGCCATCCTATTGGCAAAACTCATGCAACATGTGGAGAAACGTTTCCCTGATGAACAAGAGCTAAACGCCCAGTTCCTGGAACTAGTCAACTATATCTACCGGGACGAAAGTCTCAGTGGGACAGAGCTAACGTCCAAGCTGGAGTCGGCATTCCTCAGTGGTTTACGCTGCAATCAGCCCACCATCAGACACAAGTTTGTTGAGGTAGAGTGCAAATCAGATTCTTTGAAAATGGTTAGAAATAGATTGATTTTGTTGAAATTTGAAAAGATTAAAAAGATACCACGAATGTTTATTGTTTAATCAATAATATCCTTCTCTGTATAATATGGATGTGAACAATTTTGTGTTCTATAGGTATTTGAGAACTCCATCCCACGTCGGATGTTTGACCGTTTGCTCTATATCACCTGTACACAGAATTGGGAGGCCATGGGCACACACTTTTGGATCAAACAATGTGTAGAGGTGAGACTATATACTAAGTCACTTTACTGCCTGCTGTGATAAAGTTTGACGACTAGCTTGATCTGTACCCTGACCCTATCATCCAAGAAATTAGGTTTGATGTATTCGTGGTGCAGGTTACCCAACACATGACATACATTTGTGTAATATGGTTACAGATCAGTGAAGGTTAGCTCTATATAGTTGTAGAATGTTTCTTGGCTACCCCACTGTTTAAATAGTTTGCTTTTAAAACTTTTCCACACTTTTTTCTTCTACCTCATTCTCTGGAACAAGGAAGGTGACTAGTACTGTCTGATTACTCATTTTCTTGGGGTTTCTTGTAGGTACTCCTTAATCATGAATTTACATGTCCCACAAGATGATAAACAGTTTAGGATACACATTACGTTGCACAAGAGAATTTCATTATTACTGTTAGCCACAAATTCAAATATCAATGAAACTGTATTTTAAGGAAAACTAGTAAATTTAAGTCCCACGGAAATACATGATGAGACAGTAATGCTTTTAACTGGTTGTTTTATGTATGAACCTGTATCTACATATTGATTCATTTATATTCTCAGGGTAGGGTCAGGGTCAAAGGGTAGAACATCAAGTTTTGCATTCTTTGATGAAAATTCTAGGTGTCTGGTAAATAAAATATAAACTTTATTTATTTTACAACAATTGCGAAACAAGTTATGTCAACTTATACTAATCACTGTTGTTGGCCCGTATGTAAGCACATAAGGGGTCTTATTGTGGGAGGAAACCGAAGTACCTGTGGAAAACCCACGTGGTCGGGCAGGTGACTCCTTACCTTTTCATGTCTGTTCTGGGAATCGAACCCTGGTCAGCTAGGTGAGAGGCAAGTGTGTTACGACTGCGCCACCCGACCACCCAGGTGTCTGGTTTGATCCTAAGCCAAGACATTTAAACCCAGTACTCAGTATAGCATGTGATGGGCTTCCTGCATAATGTTCAGTGAGGTATCTACCAGTTACATGTGCTTCAAGGAAATTTCTCCACAAGAGAAAATCATATATTCTGTAACAATTTGTAGTTTATAAGAGATAATTGGATGGATGGTTCTCCTTTCCAGTTATTGCTGTCGGTGGCGATGAATGGCCACAGTATCCAGAGTTCCTCATCCCTGAACCTCTTACCATCAGCTAGCTCTATTGTTAATTTGGCAGACAGCCAAGACCGTGCCGCTTTCCAGACAATCATGAAAATGAAAGAAGAACCTATGGATGTTGAGTCAGTTGACTCAAACAAGGAGGAGGTAACTCTTCAAATATTGTATCTTTTTCTCAGAAGAATATTGTTAATATTATGCTTTAAACAATTTTTGACCTTTTAAATGCTTCAAATACTTGAAAGTTGTTAACAGTAAGATCTTCTCTGTCAACAGGAAGAGATAGACATGGAGTTAAGTGGTGTGTCATCAGATGAAAATATTCCTAAAGAACCACCTAAAAAAGAGAACCAGGATCCTCGCCAGAACATCAATACTTTACTACAACGCCAGGCTAAGTTTCTAGAAAGCTGCCGTGAGGTTAAGGTGAGTTTCACTCAGAACTACCAATACATACAGTTTCCTGTGTTGAATGGTACCCTGCAGAATCAAAGTATTAGAATATTCTAGAACTAGGCCATAATGATATTTTCTGGTTCATAAATAAGCCCTTTGATCAACTGATGCCTTTGCATTCTTTCTATTTCATGTTTAATAAGTCTACATTACATGTATCTTTTCAAAACATTTAAACACTTCAAGAATGTGTAATAATTTGGTAAACAATTCATTTAGATTACAAGCCATCAATTTGAAAAAAACTATTAACATGTGACAGATATTAATAACATGATTAAATTAATATTGTGAAAGAACTAACTGACCAGCAAGCCTTTCTCCTGATTTTTACCTGTAGACGGTGTCGTACCTGAACTCATTATCACAACTCTGCCACACATCTACTGAACTAGGTCATGCCTCCTGGGTCGATTGCTTCCCACGAATCTGGAAGATACTCTCTGACAAACAGCAGCAGGTAAAAATTGATTTTCAAATTGGTGATATTATAGTTCATAGCCATAATATTTTCAGCAAAATAGATCAATGTTGTATGTATGTCAATCCAGCTGAGATAACATATTTTTTCTGCATTGTTATTTTTTGTTTAGCAATAAAATCTACAGAAGACCACATGATTATTTCAGATGTTAGGTGGTGAGCTGATACCATTCATGTGTAGTGGAAGCCATGTTATACAGAAGGACTGCCATCCCTCCTCCATACACACGTTTCTGGAGGGACTGTCCCACTGTGTCCCACCAGTACACATACGTCCCTGTGTCCTCAAGGTAAGTCTCCACACGTTTCGAGAGGGAATGTCTCATTGTGTCCCTTCCGTACACAAATGTACCTGTGTCCTCAACCAATATAAGTCTCCACACTTTCCCGTTCTAAACACACATTCCTGGAGGGACATTCCTATTGTGTTCCTCTAGAACACGGATGTCCCTGTGTCTTATGTAAGTCCCCACACCTACCCTAACTATACACAAGTTTCCAGAGGGATTGTCATGTCCTTCAGATAGGTATAAACATCCCCACATCTACACTGTCTGAACACATGTTAATGTAAAGACTGTCCCACTTGTCTCCCCATGACATAAGTCCCTGTGTCATCATGGTAGTATAAACATCCCCACATCTACACTGTCTGAACACATGTTAATGTAAATACTGTCCCACTTGTCCCCCCCATTACACAAGTCCCTGTGTCCCTAAGGTACTTCCCCTACATCTACACTGTCAGTACACACAATTCTGGTAGGACTATCCCATTGTGTCCCTATAATATACACACCAGGTACGTTCCTATGTCCTCGAGATAAATACAGACATTCAAAGATAATTTGCTTTTCATATATGAAACTTCCAATGGTTGATTTAATTTCATTGAATTCATTATGTTGATCTGTGTTTCAATGTTGTACTTCATTGACATTTATGTAGAGGTTTGTATGGAACCTGAATTTCATTACCTACATATTACAGTACCTAGGCCGAACACACAATTTGTGGCACAGAGCCTGTCTCCAACTGGAACAAATTGCTTTTGAAAATGGTCCAGCTGTCCAGGTGAAAAATCGTCCAGTCAGCGAGTATGAATTTGAACCAGTCACTTCCCCACAACAGGTAACCTGCTTCTGTAGTTGGATATCTTAATGGACAGCATCACAGTACATTATAATTCTATCAAAAAAGAAAAAATATATAATTAAAGAATTCATGTTGCTATAAACTTGCCATTGAAAAAACTATATTCATAAAAAAATACCATTTTTTGTTTTGTATGCCATATTTGAACCATGACCTCTTTGATACAGGAGACTTTGGATGCACTCTGTGAGCTCTACTCCCTCCTGAAGGAAGAAGACATGTGTGCTGGCTTGTGGCAGAAACGAGCCAAGTTTGCTGAGACCAACATTGCCCTATCATATGAACAACACGGCTTCTTTGAACAGGCTCAGACCTCTTACGAACAAGTCAGTATCCAGATATGAAGTGTTACACACAATCTTTGATATACAATACTTTTTAATGAGACCATCTATATATATTGCTATTCAATAATTTCCAACACATGTTCTTCAATGTCCAGTAGTAAAGCAGTGCTCTGACTGAGGTTATCTTTTGGCGGTGTGGGATTAGGGTAACTATGGTATGTTTTTGTATGAACACATTGGCATTTGGTCATAATCTGAAAAAGATTTCCTTGTGTAATCTGAAACATTTCAAGGTGATGAAAAAATTCTTACATATGTTTTTGAAGGCAATGAGTAAGGCACGCTCTGACCACAACTCTGGACCCGCCTCACCATCAGTCCTGCCTGAGTACCGTCTGTGGGAGGAACGATGGATTCGGTAGGTGATAATGCACACTTGTACATGAGCTACAAAGGGGAAGAAAAGTTAACTGTTTGATTACTCACGAATAGTTGAGATTCCGTAATCCAGGTGACCTAGTTTCTAGTATAGTGGTTGTAGAGTCACTGCTTGCATTTTTGAAAACATATTCATTAGAAATATTCAGACTTTTTCCATTTCTACATCTATTTGACCCAAGGATACTTATGTCAGGGTACAGTTTCCTTCCTATTACTTCTAAACAAATCATCAATATAATTCTATGTTTGATCCCCCTAAACAACACTTGGGAGTCCTATTGGTGAAATGTGTCCAACAACCCTGATAGTCTGTGCATCAGTCTATTAATCTTTCAATATACATATTGGTTCTTTCATTGTTTGTGATTAATATATAAAGTTAAGGTTACAATGTCATTCAATGAATTCCTAATCTTGGACAGGTAACATTTTTGTTGATATAATAGAATCTTGCCCATGGTTGATTAGATTGAATGTTAGTATTTCTTGAAAAAACTCCATTTATATTGTTACCAGTAGTAATGTAGATGTCGTTTTCTCTCCTGCTGTATGTACAGGTGTTCTAAAGAGCTGAACCAGTGGGATTTATTAAAGGAGTATGCTGGGGCCAAGGGTAACACCAATCCCCACTTGGTCCTTGAGAGTGCTTGGCGAGTCCCTAATTGGGCTCTCATGAAAGATGCCCTAGCTCAGGTAAGCATAATCAGAACTCCGATAGGTCTCTGTCAATTATATTTAGTTCTTTGATAAAAGTCCGATCTTTTGGTAGACTGATTTTTTATCAGTTGGGCATACAGTCAAGGGAAGTAACATAATGGTGGCTTTATAGAAATCTCTTACTTGTGTTTTCAAGGTTGAGCTGTCGTGCCCCAAAGAAATGGCCTGGAAAGTTAATCTGTATCGTGGTTACATCGCCATTTGTCAGCCAGATGACCATCACCTCAACACTGTCACCATGGTAACGTAATATTCTCTATGGGTTTATAGATAGACAGATGTTTAAAAAAAGTATAACAAAAGTATAATATGCTCCTTGCAAGATGATTTCAGGAGGGATTTAGAGGAATAATATGGGCAGTAACATTATATATTTTTTGGGGCTTACATTTCAAAGTTTTAAAACAATATATGTTTTCATTGTTAATTGGTTTTGTGGAGATATGCTATTCCATAGAACCACTTGTACTAAAGATTTTGTCAATATTATCTGGTTATCATTTCCTGGACATATACTTTGTGGATTAAGAGTAACCACGAAAATAAACCAACCACAGAAATTATTGATTTTATAGTACTTGTATTTAAGGGTGCAACATTATTATATACTCGAAATTCAGAGATGATTGCATGTCCTGAGAATGGCTCTAGTTTGCAAATATTGTGCCCCACAGATTGAGAGACTGGTAGAGGTATCCAGTAACCTAGCCATCAAGGAATGGCGACGCCTTCCCAGCATTGTGTCTCATATCCATGTTCCCTTATTACAGGTAAGTTGTTCAGTTGTATCCATCCCATATCCAAGGCTAGGAATTCTTTGCAAAAATTATCATTGCCTTGTTTCCTGATTAATAATTTTGGGATTTTGAATTGCTTGGACATCCATGAACTTTGTTCAAATTTGTTCAATTTCACCATCAGTTTGATTTTTGTGTTGTACAGGCCGCCCAACAGATCATGGAGTTACAAGAAGCTGCCCAGATTAACCAGGGTCTCCAGCCAGCTAACATCACCCGCAGCTCCAGTCTTCATGACATGAAGGCCATCGTCAAAACATGGAGGTAGGCCTATGTTTATCTATATTTCTGTCAATGTAACAGTACATTGTTATGCTATGAGAGATCACGTGCTAGAATTGATGAGTGACTATATGCGATATATTTGATAACTGAAGGATTCCGCTGGAATTGTCATATAATGTTTTATGAATGAACACACAAGTATAGATAACAAAAACATGTCTGGTAACTCCATGAAAACACCTTAGTTTCAAATAGATATGACTAACTTCACATTCAGCTAACTCTGTCAGTTTATGTTTAGAAACCGACTGCCGATGATCTCGGATGATCTGTCCCACTGGAGTGACATCTTTACCTGGAGGCAACATCACTACCAGTTCATAGTAGAACACTATGACAACCACTCACAACAGGATCCCGTAAGTGTTTGACTGGCATTGTATTGATAATGCAAAGTTAAGTGTCTGAGAGAGAATGACCGTGAATCATTGACTTGAAATGTTGTGGATTCTGGGAAATATTAAATTTCTGTACTTTCATATAGAAAGTGAAAATGATTGATCATAAGTATTTGTATACATGTATTTTAAATATCTTAAAATCAGTATCTAAAAATCTGTTTTATGTTTTATTTGTCATACTCTTCATACAATTGTATTCATTTATGACTGTAGCAAAACAGTAACCACTCAATGTTGGGGGTTCACGCTTCGGCTCAAGCCATCATACACTTCGGCAAGATTGCCCGCAAGCACAACCTTACAGGCGTGTGTCTTGACTCTCTAAGCAGGTGAGTGTTATTTTCAGTGTTATTGGACTCGGGGTGAATCTTGCAGTGTTAAACAATACTATCTAAGCCTGTATGAAACATCACATTGCAAACTTCGTCTTGTTTGTACGTTTAACACAAGTACAAGTCATTACAATATGTTTCTGGTGACAAGGGTTGTTATTGATTTGTTTGTTTATTAAGATGATTGAATTTCTTAATACTTCATGCTGTGTTTCATCTTTTAATCGATGAGAATCACTCTAAAGGTTGCTTTTTTGGAGATATTTTATTTTCACTATTCTTATGTCTAATGGGGGAAAAAATCGCAAAAATTTGGGATCTTGAAAATAAAATCAATCAAATTCATTGTCTGTCTCATGATTTTCATGAGTAAAATTTGAAGATTTTCATAATTTGAAAAACCAACCTTTACCAACTTGATACCTGCAGAAATTAAAAATGTTTGTTTGGAACTGTGATTTTCATTTCATTTTCTGGCGACTCAGATGTATAAGGAGATAGTATTTGTGTTAAAAGTAGAAAATCTGACTTAAGGTAACAAATGATATAAGGTTAATTAATGTTTCCACAGAATTCACACGATACCCAGTGTCCCCATAGTAGATTGTTTCCAGAAGATACGCCAGCAGGTTAAGTGTTACCTACAGATGTCTGGCTCAATGGGCAAAACTGAGCTCAATGAGGTATGTAGTGGTCACTTCCATTGATCTTGGTGTTTTCTGCATAGTGTAGCCACTGGTTAGTCTGCTGATACTTTGAAGTTTTATAGAAATAAATAAAAATTATTGATGTTCATTCTGAAGCAGTGATGATAAATATTGAATTTAATGCAGTAATTAAACTTGTACAAATTTAAAATCCTAATTGCAGAAATCATTTTAATTACTTCTTTCTGCAGGGTTTGGAGGTCATCGAATCAACGAATCTCAAGTACTTCACCAAAGAGTTTACAGCTGAGTTTTATGCCCTCAAGGGCATGTTCTTAGCCCAGGTTGGACGCTCGGATGATGCCAACAAGGCGTTCTCAGCTGCTGTCCAGATGCATGACACACTGGTCAAAGCATGGGCTCTCTGGGGAGACTATCTGGAGACTGTATTCACTCGGGAAAAGTAAGTTTACCAGCTCTTGTTTCAATTTATTTGAAAAAATGTTGAAATTTTGCTGGAAGGTGGCGAAAAATGAAAATGACAAACTTATTAGATACTTTTATGCATCAGTTAAATGCCTTAGATCAGAAAAATGAAAAGTTCTTAATTCCTTTAAAACTATCATCTTTGTCCAAAAAATTTGGAAAGTAAGTCAAAATGAAACAGATATTTGTGTACTTTTATGTTCTGTGTATTCAAGTGTTCTTATCTGTCTGCAGACAAATGAACCTAGGTGTCTCAGCCATCACATGCTTCCTGCACGCCTGTCGTCATCAGAATGAGAGCAAGTCTCGCAAATACCTGGCCAAGGTCCTCTGGCTTTTGACTTATGATGACGAAAAAACCACACTGGCCGAGGCTGTTGATAAATACTGTGTTGGTGTGCCACCCATACAATGGTTACCATGGTAAGTAAGACATTACAAAGGGAATGAAATTCTTTGTTTTTTGTTTATATTTGAAGAAAAAATGTATTGTTTTTAAATGTGTAGGCTAATGTAAAAACTCTGTTTTAAAAAGTTGTTCCCTTTGCTTAAAATTTTGAGTCTTGTATTGACTTGCTTTTAAAGTTATGTTGTATATTGAGTCAATCATCTTGCAGGATTCCACAACTGTTGACATGCCTGGTGAGAAATGAGGGCCGACTTATCATAAATCTACTACATCAAGTTGGACGCATGTACCCCCAGGCTGTGTACTTCCCCATCCGTACCCTCTACCTCACACTCAAGATAGAACAGAGGGAACGCTGTAAGTATTGTTGTTAAGACAATAGAAGAAAATGGTAGAATATGGAAGACCTTTAGAGATTTTCTTCTAAATCATGAGTAAACCAGATTTGGGGAGACAATAGAAATTTTGACTTCAAAGTCTAAAAAAAAAGTAGAGGTATTTGATATGTTACTCTTTTCAATGGTTTAAATTTTGAAGTTGGAATATTATACAGCAAATTTTCTCGTTTTAGTCAAGAGTGGAGAATTCAGTCTGTCTCAAGGACGAACAACATCTGGTGCGACATCAACAACTGTTACCATGGCAGCTTCATCAGCATCATCCACTACCACCAACACAGTATCTAATCCGCCAACACCCTCGACACCTGCTACCCCTGGGACCCCAGGTACATCCCACAAAATCATGGTTATATGTCAGGTTATGTTTACTTGTAGATGGTTTCCTATTTTGTTTAGTTTCAATTCATATCTATGTTTTTGATGATTTTTAGTTTTAATTAATCCTGTAATAAAACCTAAGTTTTTACGGAGATTTTTGTGTTGGTTTTACAGACAGCAGCGGAACAGATAATAGTGTACAACCCACACAACAGACCTCCCAGGCCTCATCACGACAGAGCTCCACCACCCAGGGAGATGCTGGCCCAATTAGGGCACCTGCACCCATGTGGCGCTGTAGCAAGATCATGCACATCCAGCGTGATTGTCATCCCACAATTCTCAGCTCCCTAGAGGGAATTGTAGATCAGGTAAACTAAGTACAAAGGCAGAATTTTTCAAAATTTGATACAAAATTCTTTTGTTTTGTTTGTTGGGTTTTTCACTGGTGGCTGTGTAACTTCGTTGAACAACATACAGGAGGCCCATCACATGATATCTGGAAAAGTTTGGGTAAAGAGTTATCCCAAGGACACAGCTACAACTAAACAGGCTGGTCCGTTTCCCAGCTGCTAACACAAACTGCCCTGGGTAGAGAACATGGAACCACACACCTCAGATCTTCACCTGAGGTCACGTAGATCAAAGCTCTACTAACGGTGATGTTTAATACCATTACAATATTTTTGAGAAAAAAAATTGAGTTTACTGAAAAAATTAGTTTTTAGAATTAACCATATAGACTTGGAGTTGGAGAGAAAGTGAGATTCATTTACTATTAATCAGAATTGGTTTTTATGCATGAAATGTTATTATTTTGTTGTAGATGGTGTGGTTCCGTGAGAATTGGTACGAGGAAGTCCTTCGACAACTCCGACAAGGACTTGCAAAATGTTATGCAGTTGCTTTTGAGAATAGAGGGGCAGGTGGGCAGCTTTAACAGACCAGAAATAAGCCTTGTTTTTCATACTATTCTGTTAAGATTTCTCCTTTTTTAACAACACCTATTTCATTGTTAATATCTGACCTTCAATTTGACCTTCTACTTTTACCTTCATATGACCTCTGTAGTAATTGACATCAGTTTTGACCTCTAAATGACCTCTTTATGACCAAAGTTACATTTGACACATGTTTTTACCTTATCTTACCTTTTACATTTGACCTCTACTATAACCTTGATATGACCTTTTTTTAACCTCTGTTACAGTGGCTGATGCAACGATTACACCCCATACGCTGAACTTCATGAAGAAATTAGTCAGTACTTTTGGTGTGGGGATAGAGAATGTGTCGAGTGTGACAACAACTTTCTCCTCAGCAGCTTCAGAGTCTCTGGCACGTCGTGCTCAGGCCACGGCGCAGGACCCAGTGTTCCAGAAAATGAAGAGCCAGTTCACTACAGACTTTGATTTTAGGTAAAATCTGCAGTTTTCTGATGTTTAAAAGTCTGAGAAATGTACTAAATTTGAATAAGCACCTTCCTGATAAAGATATTAAAACTTTTTCATGCCTTTGAATTATTTTGCTCACCAGTTATTTGTTCAGATACACTGAGAATGCTTAAGATATTCAACTTATGTTAGAAAAATGTTTAGTGAAAATCAAAATGTCACCGGTGATCATGTCTTGTTGGCTTTACCTACCTCTAGGACTGTGTAAAGGATAACATTAAGTTGTGGTTATCTCTTGTGATTTCAGTGTTCCAGGATCAACCAAGCTGCATAACCTCATCAGCAAACTTAAAAAGTGGATCAAAATCCTGGAGGCCAAAACCAAGTTACTGCCAAAGTAAGCGAAAGACAAAATATCTGAGACTGGACTTTCTGTATAACAAGAAGATTATTCAAGAAACATTTTAAGGCTATGAAATGCATTTTATTTAGCTGTTTTGATATGCATTCTCTGTCACTGCTCTCAGAGTTAACTCCTCTTATGTACCTGACTTTTCTTGCAGGTCGTTTCTGATTGAAGAAAAATGTCGTTTCCTCAGTAATTTCTCCCAGCACACAGCTGAGGTCGAACTACCAGGAGAGTTCCTTCTGCCAAAAGTAAGCCAGTTACTTCCCCTGTTACCCTCTCTGTAGATGCTGACACTTAATTGTGGAGCATTATTTTGTTGCCACTTAAGTACATGGATTTTAAATGCTGGTTGCTGTTTAGTATCTTATGCTTTACCAAAATTTATCAAATTTCACTGATGTATAAAATGGTCAGTTTCCAGAAATCACTGTTATAAGATTACAAGTTAGATAATCACTCTCTCCTATAACTCATCATTACTCTACACATTTACCTGTCTTATCTTGTCTGAAAGGCTGTAACAATGGATATAAAATGTGTGTAAACAGTATTAAACCTGTTCTATTGCTTTTACTATATTATTTATCCAGCAATAATCCTGGTAATAATATATATTGTTGTTTTAGTTTAGTAATGCCAACAGAGGTTACCGAGTATATCATCTCTTGTAATTAGCCCGCCTCCCTCATTTGGTAGTCAGTGTGGTTGTCTGGCTAACTGTATATGTATAATGAAATTTGTTGTTTGTAGCCAGTAATTTATTAATGTTGGTTTGGTGTATTTGGTCTGTGTGTAATCTTTTAGATGTTGGTTTGGTGTATTTGGTCTGTGTGTGATCTTTTAGATTTGGTCTGTGTGTGGTCTTTTAAATGTTGGTGTATATTTGGTCTGTGTGTGATCTTTTTGATGTTGGTTTGGTGTATTTGGTCTGTGTGTGATCTGTGTGTAAATGTTGGTTTGGTGTATTTGGTCTGTGTGTGATCTTTTGATTTGGTCTGTGTGTGGTTTGGTGTATTTGGTCTGTGTGTGATCTTTTTGATGTTGGTTTGGTGTATTTGGTCTGTGTGTGATCTTTTTGATGTTGGTTTGGTGTATTTGGTCTGTGTGTGGTCTTTTAAATGTTGGTTTGGTGTATTTGGTCTGTGTGTGATCTTTTAGATGTTGGTTTGGTGTATTTGGTCTGTGTGTGATCTTTTAGATGTTGGTTTGGTGTATTTGGTCTGTGTGTGATCTTTTTGATGTTGGTTTGGTGTATTTGGTCTGTGTGTGATCTTTTTGATGTTGGTTAGGTAGAGTTTGTCTTTTTGGTAAATGATATATCCTCGTTTATTTTACAGCATAGTCATTACTATGTGAGGATAGCCCGCTTCATGCCACGTGTGGAGATTGTTCAAAAACACAACACGGCAGCTCGGCGGCTCTACATCCGAGGCCACAATGGAAAGGTAGGTTGGTCATGATATTCAAAAAAGTTATACACCCAACAAATTACTGTTGATACAGAACTGATGTAGACTGATGATAAAATTGTGTAGTACTAAATCATCCTATTGTACAAATGGGAGCTTGAGTTTTCTGCCCCTACCATTTCATGGTCGGTGCCTTATAGTGTTATTTTTATCTGCCATTCTGGCATATTGTTCTTTCTTTTCATGAAGGGATTACGATATAGAATGACAAAATGGTAGTTGTGTAAAAATGATATGGAGTTAAGATTTTAATGTTGTGATTGTCTGTTAATTTTTTTCTAGAGAATTTTAACTGGAATTTTCACAAAATGTGTAAGAGCTATATTTGACAGTCTTGCATAACTCCAGTGGAATTTTTAAAATTAAAACACTCTGCAGGCAGAACTTTAAAAATTCCGGTTTGCCCTACTCTTTATACAGGTCTATCCTTACCTTGTGGTCAATGATGCATGTCTGACTGAGTCACGGCGTGAAGAACGAGTCCTACAGCTGTTACGCATGCTGAATCACTTCCTCACCAAACAGAAGGTCAGTAGAGTTAATATCTCTGTCAACTTGTTACAGAATAGGAAGCCTTTTATTAGCAGTGAAGATTAAGATTCAAAACAAGTAATTGGATTTTGGAAAAGCTGGTTTCTCAAACAAGTTGAACAGTCTCACAACAGATTTTCTATCCTTTACAGGAGACTTGTCGACGTCTGCTATATTTCACCATTCCCCGTGTGGTGGCAATCTCTCCACAAATGCGCCTTGTTGAGGATAATCCGGCTTCCATTTCCCTTCTGGATGTCTACAAACAGGTGCTGGTTTATATTCATTACAGATACTGTTCATGCTACATATATGGTTTATACCTTATTACAGATACTGTAATATCACACTTTAGACATCATTTCATATATTTTTATATCAAACTGAAGATACTGCTTTATATCACCCTACAGATACTGCTTTATATCACCCTAAAGATACTGCTTTATATCACCCTACAGATACTGCTCTATATCACCCTACAGATACTGCTTTATATCACCCTACAGATACTGCTTTAAAACACCCTACAGATACTGCTTTATATCACACTACAGATACTGCTTTATATCACTAAAGATACTGCTTTATATCACACTACAGATACTGCTTTATATCACCCTACAGATACTGCTTTATATCACACTACAGATACTGCTTTATATCACTAAAGATACTGCTTTATATCACTAAAGATACTGCTTTATATCACCCTACAGATACTGCTTTATATCACACTACAGATACTGCTTTATATCACACTAAAGATACTGCTTTATATCACTAAAGATACTGCTTTATATCACCCTACAGATACTGCTTTATATCACACTATAGGTACTGTTTTATATCACACTACAGATACTGCTTTATTTTTACACTGTAACATCCATTTTATATCACACCATTAGGCACTGCTTTATATAACCCTACAGATACTGCTGTATGTTTACATTTGCCAGCCTCTGTACCATAACAACAGTACTAGACATGTGAAATATAATAATGATACTATAATTGCCGTTTTTCCCTCCTGTATGGTGACATTACAATGCATTTGCAATTTATGTTTCTGTTGTTCCTATAATTGAATTTATTCTATCATATAAGGTTAGGTTTTTACTCAGTATGAATGAAAACTTAAGTGATATTAACCAAAGTGTTGATGGTAGTGTAAATAAAGACCATAAAGTATTCTCATAATGTATTTTCAGTCAATACAATAGTAAGGGTTTCATTGAAGGTTAGAAAATAGGTCCTTTTATATATCATTTATGATTAAAATCACAAAGCACATCATTAGTTAAGTGTTGTAGTTTAAAGTTTCTGACTTGAGCTGGTATTTTTGAATTAAATTTTGGAGCATATTAAGAGGTTTCAAATATTCATTTGAAAAACAGTTTTAAACCATTACAGATATCTTTTAATTCTGATACTGTGTAATACTTCTAAAGGTTTAAATTTAGTCCAGGCTCTTCTGTTGCAGAACATCATAAAAAGGTCAGATGAGGCCCTGACTAAGCATATCATAAAGGTCAAACAAAATTCTCATATTGATAATGGTTCAATCTGACTTCCTGGGTATACTGTGTGGCTATGGAGTAAATCTGCAAGTATCTAATACAATGTATTATTATGTTGTTTTATATACATTCATGTTTTTCTCTGTAGAGGTGTGCCAAGCGAGGAATTGAACATGACGCCCCAATTGCTCGTTACTATGAGCGTTTGGCAACAGTTCAAGCACGAGGAGCTCAAGCGAGTCACCAAGTACTTCGCGATGTTTTGAAGGAAGTTCAAACTAACATGGTGCCACGCGGCCTCCTCAAGGAATGGGCTCTACACACTTTCCTCACTGCTACAGACTACTGGACCTTCAGGAAAACTGTAAGTATCCCAGATAAGAGCCTTATTCAGGAGTAACTTGTCTGTTCCTTATGTATCTAGATTATACATTTGATATCCAGTGATATAAGTGTAGAGAAAGAAAGAAATCTTCTATACAATATCAAATTATATATATCACCTTTGATAGCATTGTCAATCTACAACTTTGAACTACAGCCACTTGGTGAAATGTGAATAAGTTATCCAGTGTGCCATCAGACCAGATGAAATCAGCAGATATTGACAAGCAAATAGAAATAGGAGTAGGCAATGGTGTTCCAGTTTCTGTTTTGAATTCACTACAGTTAAATTTGTGAATACTTATTGATGTGTTGATGATCTTACACCCTAAAGACAGCGCTGCTGAAGTACACCCTGATAGCTAATATTCTGGTTTTGTGATACAGATGACAATACAGCTGGCATTAATGGGCTTTGCGGAGTATGTTCTCCACCTAACAAGGATGAACCCAGATATGATGTATCTCCATCAAGACTGTGGCTATCTTAACATCTCCTACTTCAAGTTTGACATAGACGACCAATCAGGTAAGACAATAATGTTTGATTGACATGTGAGTGGTATCCAACTGGGCAGAATCAGGATGGCGTATCCCATAGCTTTTGAGATTTCATTTGCTGTGTATTTAATTCCATGTTTTCTTTTATAACTGTGAATATTGGGAAGTCAAATCTCTTATGTATAACCAACCTTAGAACCAAATCCCTTGTTATGTATAAGGAGGTACTATTGAGGGTGTACAACTTTTACAAAATGTTTTCCATGGCATACATGTCATAAAGGAAATACAATCACATACAAAAAAGATAACATTATGTACCAGAGTAGTATAAATACATGGTAGTCTAAAACAAGAATGTTTGATACATGGTCACAGGATATTTCTTAACATTATGCATTTAATATCATGTCCACCAGGTGACTTGGATGCCAACCGACCTGTCCCATTTCGCCTCAGCCCTAATATTGCCGATTTCCTGACAACTACGAGTGTTACTGGACCTCTCACGGCCTCCATGGTGGCTGCAGCGCGTTGTTTTGTCCAGCCTCAGTATAAACTACCCAGCTTCCTACGAACTATCCTACGTGACGAATACATCACATGGCACAAAAAGGTACAACCAAGGAGCTGTGTTTATATTCACTCCAGATAATAACCGTATTTGACTGATGTATGTTATGAAATGTGTTTATCAAATAGAAGAGAGGAGGTTAATCAGGTGATGGTTCATATGTTTATTTTTCCGATGTATGTTTACAAGCTTTGATTTGCTGTTAGATTGCACTTGTTAATGAAGTGTCAAAATTTCTGCGTAAAATTGCTGCTGAAATCATGCTGCTAATGGGTTCTCATAATTTTGTCATGTCCAGTAAAATATAACGTACAGATGCTGTCCTTCAAATCAGAATAATCAATAATAGTCCTCAGGAGATGGATATCAGATTTATTGCTTGATCAAATGTTTAAGAAAAAATTCGAAGATTTTAGGAATGTCTTTAATTATACCCCCGCCATAAAATAGAAAGGGGAAGGGGTATATAGTGTCCCATCCCAATTCAATGTAAGGACCTAGCAACTTCATTCTTAACTGTAAGTTTTCTAGTTTTATATGATATACGTTCCTGCAGCCTAGGAGTGATTGTCTAAGGGCGAATGTTAATGATTGATAGAACAGTTGTATATTTTTTTGCCTCCAAAAGATTTCCACAATGATCTAAGTCAACTATTTTGTTTTCATTTCAGAAACAAGAGGAGACAACTCCTGGTAGTGAACCCTCGGACATGGATGGTGAACAGCTTATAGTTATGGTCAGCAAAGCTGTTCAGGCGATTACAACTCGCTTACAGAGTTAGTTTCCTATTTTCCTTGTTAATTGAGATAACTTGCTACTTATCCAAATTATATGCTGTGTTGTATTTATGTATAGTTTGCCATTAAAGTAAAGACCAATATCCATTTCTTCTGTCCGGCTATTGTGGTGTAAACAGTAAAAGATGTTAACATGAACAACAGACTATCAGCTATATATGGCACACTTATCAACTGGTAATGATATTGTAGTAGTTATTTATTTTTTCAATTTTTTTCAGATCTGGCAAAGTTTGATGGTGCAGAGAGCAGTGTAAGTACTCTTGTTGCTGCCGCTAACAGCCATGACAACTTGTGCCGCATGGACCCAGCGTGGCATCCCTGGCTCTGATGTGTCATACACACAGTTAAGATATATCCTGGATCTGTTATGTGATTGTCATGCAGTCCTGACATTATGGATGGACTCTCAGAAATTGACTGGGATAAGTGACTAATTTGGCCACAGTCATCGTCAAGGCTAGAACTGGTGTAGCAACCATACACATCTACAAACTAGTTAATGGTTCAGGGACTGGCTGTGTTTCTTTTACTGACTGGTGAATGTGGCTTTAAATTCAGAAATCGATGAAGACACTAAGAGGATGTGTTGAGTGTCGCTGTAGACATTTCTTCTTGCTGTACTCAAGTTATTCAGTTTTGATGTCAAAAGTAGTGGCGAGACATCAGCGTAGTGCTATTTTGTATATGTGATAATTTCATTTTCTAGCATTTAGAATTTGTATGTTAAATCTGTCAATGCAACTCATCTATAATGTTGCCATTGTACTGTCAATACCATGTGATATAGACAATTATGTTGTATAATAGTTTTCTGTCCATATCTACGTCTGTTGGTGGTGATTAAGTAAGGATTTACTTTATATCATAGCATCACCCCACCAAGGTCTAAACCTTATTAGATTTTGTTAGTCATGGGTCTAGGTTAAAGATCAAAGGTCACCCTTGACCACTTGAAATAAAATGCTTGTGTACATGATATCTGATGAACCCCTTGATGAATTAGTCCATCAGTTGATTTCAATTGGAAAACGTCACCGGAACACTAACATTTGATGGTGAGACAACTATAAATAGGATGAGTCAAAGAGACTGTCACCAACCATTTAAATCAGATGAAGAAACTGTGTGGTTTGGGTATATGTGTGGCCCTGCTCACGTTTTTATTTGTATTGTGTGTCTGAGGCAGCTTTGATGGTTTTGAATCATGATGATTGTGTTTATAGTTTTCTATAATTGTACCAAAGGTTAGAAGAATTCTAATTTTGTTTATTTAGTTTTAAGAATATGATAAAGTAACATTGATCTGAACAGTCCTATTTCATGTAACAGTTATTGTTTGCCAATACTTCATCACTTGCATCATTTTCGAACATGCATTTGTCTTTAAGTTATTTTTATCTTTGGTTGTAAATGTCCGAAAAGTATTCAATATTTTGAAGATGTGTTGAATGCATGCTGTTTTCTAAGGTGGAATATGAAGAGGAGGATTCACGGCTGCTGCTCTCCTGTTTCCATAGTCTTAATATTAGTAAGAAATTACATTGATCTGAAAATTGAATGCAAATCCTGGCTCTGTCATTTAAAAAACCACAATTAATTTATAAGGATATATTCAGTTGTGTAATAAAAGATTTATGATGGCAATTATTTTCACAACAATTTCTTATAAAATTTATCGACTTTTAGATGAAATGCACCGAAAAATTCATTTTTCTATTAAATAAGGTTGTTAATATGTTATGAAACTGGACATTTTTGAAGTAATCCTGAACTTCCAGTCAACATAGATCCCTTAGGATATGTTAATTTTCTGGAAAAGTTTCATACTATGAATGTATGTTTGACTCCATATCTGATATTAGTACAGTTGATTAAGGTAATGTATTTTGAAAATATCATGTGACGAGAGTGATTTGTGTGTTAGTTGTAGATACAAGCTATTTTTGGATAACTGTTAGAGATTGATTGTTTGATGTTCACACCTTTTTCATCTCTCCTCTGTCTATTGAATTTGTAAAGCAGTCAAGTACGATAGTTCAGTATTTGTCAATTGGCATATTTTCTCAAGGGATTAATTTCTGTGAAAAATGGATTGTCCTTATTTCATTTTTGCACAAATATAAATACCATTGGAAAAATGAAATACTGAACAGCTTGATTCATAAAATTGGTATATCAGATTGATTTGTATATAACCCGATACGTCTCGGGGACAGGTTTATATGTTTATCCCTTAAGAAGCTGAAGGTTATTTTATGGTCAATTTGGAATTAGTTTCCTGACAAATTCTGTTGGTATTTTAAATAATTCATTTTGTTTTGTGATGGAATATGTTTGTCTTTATAGAGAAACAAGTCCTTTGGTCTTCTAACAGTAATATGTATGTTACTTTCAATTTTCAAGTTATGTATATCACTTCATGATTAACGTCCAAAATTCAATGTAGGATTGTAGTCATACTGCAGCTATGATAATAGTAGAAATGATTTTATTTCATTTGTTGACATTGTACATCTTCAAAACTCCATTCATCGTTTTAGTAAGCCCCTATTGATAAACCCATGTGTATGTTTTCAGTCAAATGAATGAACTCTTGTCATTTCCTGTTATGTATACAATAGAATACAATCAAATGATACACACGTGGAATTGTTACATTATTCAAAAGTTCCAGTGTAGTCAAATTTAAAAGGGAATATTTTGTTGAGTATTTGACATAAAGTAGATGTTTATTTATTGTGGTTAGTCGTCAATAGGTCTCTCAGCTGGATTGTTGAGAGTTCTCCTCCATCAGTTATTGGGAACAAATCATTGACATTAACTAGGAAGTCATATCCTTCAGCTATTTTTGTATCAAACTTACGTTCATGACATGTAAATATTTATGTATAAGTTATGTAAATAGGAGATAGAATCATGTAAATGATATGCACCATAGTATTGTGATAAAATGAAAACATGCTAATAAAACTGATAAACTATTGTCTTGTTTGTAAGTATTTGTGTAAAAGGGTTTTATTAGCTCAGCTGGACCAGGTCATTGGTGGTGAGCATATGCCATACTGAGTCATCCCTCAGTCCCCCCGCCCCCCTCCTGAGGTTTACTTTGATAAAGTTAAACAAGGATCATGAAACTTGGTGAATACATTGATCATACAATTATAGATTCACTGCTCTTTATTAAACTTCCTTGTAAGAGGCACAACTTTGCTTGCATTTAAATAAGGATCATGAAACTTGGTGGATACATTGTTCACACTAAGACAGTGTGCAATGTATTAAATTCAGGGCCCTGGACCCCTTAATTACAGAGTTAATGCCCTTCGTTAAAATTTTCTTTTATGAAGCATTCTTTTGGCCACAGTTAAACAGGAATCATGAAACTTGGTGTATACAGTCAATGTGCAGTGTACCGAAAAAATTCCCCTTGAGCCCTTAATTACATAATAATTGCCCTAAGTTAAAAATTCTTGTCTAGAGCATAACTTTGGTTGAATTGAAACTTCTCCATCTGTCCGTCCGTATGTCCATTTCTTGTGAATGCAACTCCTAAACTAATCATCAGATTTTCATGAAACTTGCTCAGTGTCACTACTACAATGGGTAGATGTGCATGAAGGGACGATTTGTTTGGTTCGTTGATTTTTTGTAAGATTTATGCCATTTTCAACTTTGTGTATGTAGCTTGCTCATTGTGGAGCCTTATGAATGTAACTCCTCTTAAACTAATGATTAGATTTTCATGAAATTTCCTCAGGTCCCTGTTTCTTCCAGCTTAGCTAACTGGTCTCACAGACTTCATTTTGAGCTTATGTATACAGACATGTTAAAAGCGATAATTAAATTGACCAATCTTGATCTTTATATTTCGTGGCGGCATATATTGTGTCCACGGCATTCTTGTTGTGTTATTCTGAAGATAATATACATTAAGATTAAAAGATCTGTTTTCAGGTTGGACATCTCCAGGGTCGCACTCTTCCATGTACATGCATGTATCTGTTTGGTTGCGGATGTCCCACCTGTTAATGATTCCTATTTCAGAATGTTTGTTGGGCTACATGACCACATCCAATGACAACATTACACAATGCAAAAATGGAATTCGTAAGAGATATTGTTGGGAGTTTTCTTTTAGGAAATATCTCTGTTACTCACAGTACCACCACAGCACTGTTACTTACAGGATCACCACAGCACTGTTACTTACAGGATCACCACAGCACTGTTACTGACAGGATCACCACAGCACTGTTACTGACAGGATCACTACAGCACTGTTACTTACAGGATCCCTACAGCACTGTTACTTACAGGATCACTACCGCACTTACTTACAGGATCACTATAACACTGTTACTTACAGGATCACTACAGCACTGTTACTTACAGGATCACTACAACACTGTTACTTACAGGATCACTACAACACTGTTACTTACAGGATCACTACAGCACTGTTACTTACAGGATCACTACAACACTGTTACTTACAGGATCACTACAGCACTTACTTACAGGATCACTACAGCACTTACTTACAGGATCACTACAACACTGTTACTTACAGGATCACTACAACACTGTTACTTACAGGATCACTACAGCACTTACTTACAGGATCACTTACTTACAGGATCATACAACACTGTTACACTACAGCACTGATCACTACTTACAGGATCACTCACTACAGCACTGTTACTTACAGGATCACTACAGCACACTACAGCACTTACTTACAGGATCACTACAGCACTGTTACTTACAGGATCACTACAGCACTGTTACTTACAGGATCACTACAACACTGTTACTTACAGGATCACTACAGCACTGTCACTTACAGGATCACTACCGCACTTACTTACAGGATCACTACAGCACTGTTACTTACAGGATCACTACAGCACTTACTTACAGGATCACTACAGCACTGTTACTTACAGGATCACTACAGCACTGTTACTTACAGGATCACTACAGCACTGTTACTTACAGGATCACTACAGCACTTACTTACAGGATCACTACAGCACTGTTACTTACAGGATCACTACAACACTGTTACTTACAGGATCACTACAGCACTGTCACTTACAGGATCACTACAGCACTTACTTACAGGATCACTACAACACTTACTTACAGGATCACTACAACACTGTTACTTACAGGATCACTACAGCACTGTTACTTACAGGATCACTACAGCACTGTTACTTACAGGATCACTACAGCACTGTTACTTACAGGATCACTACAGCACTGTTACTTACAGGATCACTACAGCACTGTTACTTACAGGATCACTACAGCACTGTTACTTACAGGATCACTACAGCACTGTCACTTACAGGATCACTACAGCACTTACTTACAGGATCACTACACACTTACTTGATCACTACAACACTGTTACTTACAGGATCACTACAACACTGTTACTTACAGGATCACTACACTGCACTTACTTACAGGATCATCACTTACAGGATCACTACAGCACACTACAGGTTACTTACAGGATCACTACAACACTTACTTACAGGATCACTACAACACTGTTACTTACAGGATCACTACAGCACTGTCACTTACAGGATCACTACCGCACTTACTGACAGGATCACTTTTACACTTACTTACAGGATCACTACAGCACTTACTTACAGGATCACTTTTACACTTACTTACAGGATCACTACAACACTTACTTACAGGATCACTACAGCACTGTTACAGGATCACCACAGCACTGTTACTTACAGGATCACTACAGCACTGTTACTTACAGGATCACTACAGCACTTACTGACAGGATCACTACAGCACTTACTTACAGGATCACTACAGCACTTACTTACAGGATCACTACAGCACTTACTTACAGGATCACTACAACACTGTTACTTACAGGATCACTACAACACTTACTGACAGGATCACTACAGCACTTACTTACAGGATCACTACAGCACTGTTACTTACAAGATCACTACAGCACTTACTTACAGGATCACTACAACACTGTTACTTACAGGATCACTACAACACTTACTTACAGGATCACTACAACACTGTTACTTACAGGATCACTACAACACTGTTACTTACAGGATCACTACAGCACTTACTTACAGGATCACTACAGCACTTACTTACAGGATCACTACAACACTGTTACTTACAGGATCACTACAGCACTTACTTACAGGATCACTACAGCACTGTTACTTACAGGATCACTACAACACTGTTACTTACAGGATCACTACAACACTGTTACTTACAGGATCACTACAGCACTGTCACTTACAGGATCACTACAGCACTGTTACTTACAGGATCACTACAACACTTACTTTACTTACAGGATCACTACAGCACTTACTTACAGGATCACTACACACACTGATTACAGCACTTACAGGATCACTACAACACTTACTACAGGATCACTGTTACTTACAGGATCATTACAGCACTGTTATTTACAGGATCACTACAGCACTGTCACTTACAGGATCACTACAACACTGTTACTTACAGGATCACTACAGCACTGTTACTTACAGGATCACTACAGCACTGTCACTTACAGGATCACTACAGCACTTACTTACAGGATCACTACAGCACTGTTACTTACAGGATCACTACAGCACTGTTACTTACAGGATCACTATAACACTGTTACTTACAGGATCACTACAGCACTGTTACTTGCAGGATCACTACAGTACTGTTACTTACAGGATAACTACAGCACTGTTACGTATAGGATCACTACAGCACTGTTACTTACAGGATCACTACAACACTGTTACTTACAGGATCACTACAGCACTGCACTTACTTACAGGATACACACACTACAGGATCACTACAGCACTGTTACTTACAGGATCACTACAGCACTGTTACTTATAGGATCACTACAGCACTGTTACTTACAGGATCACTACAGCACACTGTCACTACAGCACTTACTTACAGGATCACTACAGCACTGTTACTTACAGGATCACTACATCACTGTTACTTACAGGATCACTACAACACTGTTACTTACAGGATCACTACAGCACTGTTACTTATAGGATCACTACAGCACTGTTACTTATAGGATCACTACAGCACTGTTACTTACAGGATCACTACAGCACTGTTACCTACAGGATCACTACAGCACTGTTACTTACAGGATCACTATAACACTGTCACTTACAGGATCACTACAGCACTGTTACTTACAGGATCACTACAGCACTGTTACTTATAGGATCACTACAGCACTGTTACTTACAGGATCACTACAGATCACTACAGCACTTACTTACAGGATCACTACAGCACTGTTACTTACAGGATCACTATAACACTGTTACTTACAGGATCACTACAGCACTGTTACTTACAGGATCACTACAGCACTGTCACTTACAGGATCACCACAGCACTGTTACTTACAGGATCACCACAGCACTGTTACTGACAGGATCACCACAGCACTATCACTTACAGGATCACTACAGCACTGTCACTTACAGGATCACTACAGCACTGTTACTTACAGGATCACTACAGCACTGTTACTTACAGGATCACTACAGCACTGTTACTTACAGGATCACTACAGCACTGTTACTTACAGGATCACTACAACACTGTTACTTACAGGATCACTACAGCACTGTTACTTACAGGATCACTACAGCACTGTTACTTACAGGATCACTACAACACTGTTACTTACAGGATCACTACAGCACTGTTACTTACAGGATCACTACAGCACTGTTACTTACAGGATCACTACAACACTGTTACTTACAGGATCACTACAGCACTGTTACTTACAGGATCACTACAACACTGTTACTTACAGGATCACTACAGCACTGTTACTTACAGGATCACTACAGCACTGTTACTTACAGGATCACTACAACACTTACTTACAAGATCACTAAAACACT